TTGATGAGAAGTGGGATAGGCATCTACATCGGCCACTGCATGCAACTGGTTATTATTTGAACCCAGTTTTTTTTGTGTTGACAAGGATATACACACAAATGACACAATTATAACTGGATTTAATAAGTATGTAGATGTACTAGTCCCTGATCCTGATATCCAGGATATGATATGCGCTGATGAGCTGATAAATTACAAGTGCTTATTAAAGTCTTTTGGGAGTCCAATGGCGATGAGGCAAAGGACAAAAATTGATCCAGATAGTAATAATATTCTTACAATGTTTAAAAAAAAGGACCGTCCGGCGCCTAGGCACCCAAAAAAAATTTCCGTACGCCTGGTCATGGGCGCCCCAACACAGGCGGCCAACACAGTTTACGATTTTTTTTTTTTTAACTTCGCCCAAAAGGGCAAAGGGAGTCATTTTAACCCCCAAGTTTGTATAAAATAAGTTTAGGGGTTTATTTTCAAACCCAAACTGAAAAAAAAACAAGAAACCCTCAATCTTAAACTTATTTATGAGAATCTAAAGCAATTGCTGAGAATCGAAAATACTTCTTGTGGATTGAAAAAGTTTGTTTTTCTGATTGAAATTATTTTTAGGGTGCTATTGGTGGTATCAGAAGACTTTTAAGTTGATTCGTAGCTCGACTGAGATAGCCAACATCGAAGATCAGAGATTGGATAGAAAAGGTCAGTCTGTAATCTTTATTTGAGATTTATTTTTTCAATTTGAGGTGTCTTCTGCGGGGTCTACTAGAGGTGGAAATCCGGGATGGAAATATTGTGTTAACACGAATAAGAATGACAGAAATAAAATTATGTGCAATTTTTGTAGACATGTTTCTAATGCCGACATAAATAGATTTAAGAAACATCTTGCCGGTATTAGAGGTGATTTCGCCCCATGTAAAACGTCTCAGATCTTGTAAAGAAATAAATTTTGGAATACATTGAAGCTAAAAAAAGTAAAAAAGTTGCAAAAAAAAAGGATATAGTAGAATTAAAGTCACAGGTTCATATTTTTTATGATAATACTGAAACTGAAGAAGAGGATGATGAAGAGGGGGAAGAAGAGGTAGCCATGGTTGGTACTCAGAGCTCGCTTTTGGGTCTAAGAAGGCTCGTACGAGAGGGCCTATAGATAGTTTCTTTACAGCTAGCCCTGAGACAGTAATTGAGAAAGGTAAGGGAAAGGGGAAAAAACATGTAACAATTGATAATAGGTTTAAAAAGGAAGATAGAGCCAGTGTGATTCAATATATTGCTCGGCGGTTTTACCATGCGGCCATTTCTTTTAACACTACTAGTTTGAATAGCTTCCATACAATGTTGGAAGCAATTGGGCAATTTGGGCCAGGTTTGAAAGCTCCAACTCCTTATGAGAGTGAAGAGCCACTACTGAAGAAAGAAGTCGAGTACACTAATGAATATCTCAAGACTCATAAGGAGGGATGGGCTAAATTTAGGGTTTCTTTGATGACAGATATGTGGAGTGATAGGAGGAAGAGGACTAACATGAATTTATTAGTAATTGCCCCACGGGTACAGTTTTTTTGCGCTCAATCGATGCTTCCAATGATGTTCATGATGCGCATTATATATTTTCTTTTATTGATAAGGGTATTGAGGAGGTTGGAGAGGAACATGTAATTCAAGTGGTCACAAATAATACCGCTCCCAATCTAGCTGCAGGTCATTTGCTTCAACAAAAGAGGCATCGCATATTTTGGACTCCTTGAGCTGCACATTGCGTAGATCTTATGCTTGAGGCAATTGGTGAATTACCTCCTATTAAAGGAATTATTTTTAAGGCTAAGGAGGTTACAATCTTTATATACAGTCACGTACTTACCCTTAGCATGATGTGCAAGTTTACAAAAAAGAGAGAGCTAGTGAGGCTTGGGGTCACTAGATTTGCCACTGCCTACCTTAGTCTACAGAGCATGTATAAAAGGAGGATCGCATTAAGGTCTATACTTGCTTCAGAGGAGTGGAGTAGGTGTAGGTGGTCTAGAGATGCCAAGAGAAAGAAGACACGAGATATTATTTTTTTGAAATATTTTTGGCGTGGGGTGAAGCATGCGATATTAGTATTTCTTCCCTTGGTGAAGGTCTTGCGCTTGGTTGATACTGATAAGCCCTCCATGGGCTTTATATATGATGCAATGGAAAGGGCTAAGAATGAGATTGCAGAGAATTTGGACGATAATGCAGCGAGTATGCCCCAATTTGGGAGATTATAGATGATAAATAGGATAGGCAGCTCTATAGACCATTCAGAGCAAACATCTGATCCTAGGAGGGCCACTCAAGCAACTTCTTCTGCTGGTACTTCACGGAGGGAGATAGAGGAAGAGGAGGCAGATTCAGAAGAATCTGTGGAAGAAGAGGAATATGTTGAAGAGGGTGATGATTCTAATGATTACGACCTCAATTCTGATGCAGATGAAGGCAATGAAGATGATGATTCTGATTCTTGTTGATGTCTTGATTGTCTTCTCTCTTCTTTTAAAGTAACTTTAATACTTTATTGCACCACCTTGGTTTAGGCTTTAGACATTTGGAGTTTGAACGATTTTTATTTAGTTATATGGTTTGTAATTTTTTTGCCTTTTTGGACTATTTCGTTTGTGGTTTACTGGTTTTTCTATAGTTTTGGAAGTCAATTTGTTGATGACTTGGAGACTTGGAATCTTGGATGTTATTATGGTTTATTTTATGGATATGGAATATGCCAATATGGAGAATTTTTGAATTTGAGAGTTGGAGACCTTACAGTAGCCTATTAGCCTTTTAAATGTTTTGTATGGTTCAAATTTTGGAATAAATTACAAATTTTGACACAAACATATGCGTATATGTGCATTTGGATAACAGCTATATTAAAAAAAACTAAGAATATGCACCGCAGGGCGCCTGAGGTTCTGGGCGCATGCCTAGGCGCTGGGCGCCAGGCAAGCCGCCTAGGGGCCACCTAGCGTTTTTTGAAACCTTGTATTCTTAAGTTCATCAAGTTCAAGTAATCAAGTTTCATTTTTATAATTCTCTTATTTATTTATGATTTTATTTTATATCTTTGCAGCTAATTGGTGGAGCCAACATGGGTGTAGTTCTCCAAATTTATAAAAGTTGACCATTCGGACCTTAAACCTAACCACTTCCTCATCCGATTGTGAGCGCAATTGGAGTACTTTTGAAGGGATAAGGCCGTAGTGGTAATTTGTATAATTATATTAATAATACGTGAACCATAGATTTTAATTAGTGTCATTTGAATTTGTTAGATTCATACAAAGAAAAGGAACAGGCTTGAATCAAAGAGGCTCAATGATCTAGTCTATGTCAAATATAATCGATTCTTAAAGGACAAGTTTGCTAAGAGAGATATGAGAGACCACATCAGATCAAAAAATATGGACAATACTATGGAGTGGTTAGTTGATGATGATGAGGTCGAGGGGCATGAAGGATTGACATGGAACACGGTCATGGATGCCTTAGGGACATCAGCTGACCCTCCTAGGGCCACTAGATCTTCTGCACAGAGAAGAGGCAGATTCAGAAGAGACGGAGGAGGACGACCAATATGTCGAGGAGGGTGACAACTCCGATGAATATAATGCCAATGCAGCTGACCCTAATTTTTCTGATGATGAATGATGAATGTTGAATAATTATTAAATTTTGAACTTTGATTGAACTATTGTCTATTGAAGATTCTTTTGAGTCTTCAAGTATTACTTTCATTTTTGTTTTCTACCTCATGATGGTGTAATACTGTAATGTGATTTGTGGATAGTGGATTTGTAGTTCCACTGGTTTAGTACTATTTGGTAACTTTGGTTGGTTGGTAAATTTTAAGTTTTAATTGGATATGGATTATAGACCGACTTATAGTTATGCTTATGGAGTGTGTGCTAATATACAGTACACTTTGAATTCTGATGTGCCCTAAATACCTAATTCTTATATTTTATACAATATATAACTGTAGAATCCTTTTTGAATTCAACTGGGCCCCTCAGGTTCTAAGCGCCTGCCTAGGAGCAAGGCGGCCTGGACCCCCCGTGCCACCTAGGACCCACCTAGAGCTTTTGAAATACTGATCCTATTAAAATACAAATTTGGCCTCCAGTATCAGCTCAGCCTTCTAAAAGAACATCAATCCAACATATCATTGATAACTCTAGTTGGAGTTTCACTGATCTTAGTGAATTAATTCAAAGAAAGCTCTGTATAAATTTCCAAGTATCACAAGATCCGAAAGAATAAAACATGTAGGTAGTTTTCTGGAGAGAATAAGCATGGTGTTTCACTAGGATACCTTTGCCAGGTAACAAAAAATTCAATGCATAAGAGGCAAATAGACTATGGTAAAATAGACAATAACGGGTTTGTAAAGCCACATCAAAGAGAAACAGGATAAGTACCTCAAAACCTCTTGAAGAATCCGCAGCCCCACCAGCATAGAATCTACCTGCAAATCCAGTTTAAGATTCCAAGTGTCATGGAATGACAAATACTTATTTCATAGACTACCAAAACAAAACAAAAAAGGAATCAATTTTGTTGCAATAAATTGACAAAGAAACATATACCATAAATCCATAATCCAATGGAGCATGGTGAACCATACTTTAAAGGGGCTTCCACTGCCCATTCCCAATGATGGCTGGTAGAGACCAACTATACCCAGATGCCCTTTCTCCTCCCCCCTATTCCCCTGCTACTCCCCCCCTCATATCAGCCAAGGTGTGGACCGTGTGGTACCCCTTCATTCCTCCTAAACTACAAATCTTCAACTGGCTGGCCTCACTTGAAAACGTGTTGACAGTGGTCAGTGGATCACCTTCAGAGAAGAGGTATGTCATACATCATGTGCCTTTGCAAAGAGCAAACGAACGCCCAACTTTTTCTCCACTGCAAACTGGCTACCGATATTTGGGGAGCCACTCTACAGCTTTTTGTGCTCTTTTGGGCTACCCCACCCTCCCTCCCTTGCCTCTTCAACATGCTTCAGTTTCTGCCGTGGCCCAAGGCAGGCATCTTGCTATGGAAGGCGACCATATCTGCTACCCTTTGGGTATTATTGACTGAGTGTAACAGCCGCATTTTCAGAAGAACTAGAGCCACCTCGGAAGGGGCCAAGGAGCACATTAGATCCTTAGTGACCTTCTGGCCAAGAAACTACAAACGGTTCAAGTAGTTTTCATTGGTGGATTTTTCGCTTAATTGGCAGGCGTTGTTACATCTTACCACACCAGGGTGAGTTGTGCTGTTAGATGGCAGCCACCTGAACCACGCCAACTTAAGCTTAATTTTGATGGTTCCTCCCTTGGCAACCCTGGACCAGCTGGAATAGGGAGCATATTCAGAGACCATGCGGGCAATTCCTTCCTTTCCTTCTCTAAGTCAATTGGCTTTGCTTTTGCTCGATGGATTAAGGGCATTCAATCCCAGCTGTTCTCGGAAGGAGGGGATTCTAAAAGTGTCATCTCCTGGGCCTCAGGAAAGGCAGCCCACCCGTGGAAACTAGCCCATATCTTCCACGAGACCTTTGAGATTAGCAGGTCAATCACAACTTTGTGGACCCTCGTCTGGCATGAGGCCAATTTCCTCGCTGATGCCCTTGCTAAGAAAGGTGCATCGAGTCCTAATGTTGGTGGACCCACCTGATTTAGGATCTCACTCAGTTTCTTCCTTCATTCTTTCAGAAACCAAGGATGTATAAAATTTTCGTGTATCCCTCACTCTTTGGGTGAATTTTTGTATAGAGCTCCCCTGTGAGGGAGAATATTTTTGTACTTGTACATTTTCATTTTATTAAAGTTAACCTTCTTTCAAAAACAAAACAAAAAAAAAATAATGTTCCACTGGGCCCTACTGCGTGTTAATCTCTACTGCCCATCAGCATGAACAAAAGCTGGGTGTCCATTGAACTACATATTATACTCCAATGGATTATGGTATATACTTAATATAAGCCATGTTACCTTCTGCATATCGAGCAGGTGGCATTCCATAGAACTGCATGGGAGATGCTCCAGGAGGAGTCCCATGCATCGATGCTCCATAACTGTAAAAGGTGCCAAGCAATGTAAGATAAGCAAAAGAATTTAATCAACAGTTGTAGGGATTGAAAAAAACAAACCAACATCCAAATTATCTCATTCTAGTAACAAATAAAATTATCTTTATAGCGAGAAATAACCTTGAGCTTCCAGTTGGATACATGCTGTCCAGACGGGTACGAGGATGCCCTCTCAGATCAGAACTATATAAATCCTCACCCTGCAAGACTCAAGACCCAATAAACTCATTTTTGCTTTTTGAAAAACATCAATACCTAAGTTATTTCAACTAGGTGCCTCTCACATTGTGCACTCGTCAAGTAAAGATAAATAACTTACCAATGCAGGTAGAGGGCGTTTGGCTCCTAGTAATGTATCCCTATAATCCTGAACCGAGGAAACTGCAATAGCAGAAAATTTAAAGGTAAAAAGTTGGACTCAGACAAAAATCCATTTTTAATAGAAGTTGAATATTAGAACCAACACGTCACGTTAGTAGTAAGTAAAAAATTTTACTCATAACAAAAATTCATTTTTATTAGAAGTTGAATATCAGACACAACAGGTCACGATAGTAGCAGTAGCAGTAGCAGCAGCAGTCGTAGGAGGAGGACGAGGAGGAGCAGCAGCAGCACCAGCAGCAAAGGTGGTAGGAGTGGTGGTGGTAGTAGTAGTAGTAGTAGTAGTAGGGTAGTAGTAGTAGGGTAGTAGTAGTAGTAATAGGAGGATAGTTTATGCACCCAACAATTTTGTAACTGCACCTAGTGCACCAGCTAACTAGTCACCCTCCCAGTAACCTTTTGCATCAGATTCTAATTGATAACTTTCTAGCTTTCAACATCACAGCGGCTTGCACAATTATAGGACTTAGGACACCAAATTTTTGCACTCTCACACTTCTCTTTGTCCTTCTTGATCCTCTTCCATTATACCTATTTATCGTCTTTCACTCTTTAACCACCAAGCGGCAAGGATAGAGATAGACCTTTCATCCCCAAAATCCTACCTTAGTATTTATTCCTCTATCTACAAATACAAAAGAAATAGAGGGAGATTTCCTTATTTCCTGAAACCCATAGTCATCTTGCCATGATCTTGATGCACTTAGTTTCTTTCTGTAGAATATGACTGTCTGGGATGAAGCCCAAGGAATTAGAATTCCTCCATAGCTTCTATCTAAACAAACCAGAACCATGCAAATAATTAAGATCAAATAATTAAATTTTATTTATGATTCTGAATATCGAGAGAATAGGTTTCAGTTTATGCAGGACAGTAATGGGGTATTTAGTTAGGTAGAAAGCCCCCATGTGAAGATAGATCCATGTATATGGCCAGAAGTGAAGATAGATCCATGTATATGGCCAGAAGTCAGTGGTTTAATAGTTAGATCTATCCTTAATGGTTCGAAGATATTCTTGTATGAGATTGAAAACATGTGGCCTTCATTGGGCGATGTTGATTTTGGGTGTTCTGATCTCCCTCCCTCCAGAATCGTGGTCGTGGAGTTTGTCTTTATGAGTTCAAGAAGGCTTTTTTCTCATGGGCTACGATGTTTAAGAAGGTGATGGGCAGCGCCAATGTGACCAGGGGAGGATGGTCGCCTAGACGTGCTGCAGGAGCCTTGGTTTTGAAGAACCCCACACGCATACATATGCACTCCAAACACACGTATGTGCATCAAACATATATGTGCATGTTTGCATGTCTGAGTTGAACTTTACACATTAAAAAATTCCTTAAATCCCCCAAAAACTCCTCTTCTAACCTATCTTGATAGTTCAAGATCAATCCTGGCCAATAAAATAGGATTTGAGAAGATTTCTCGAAGTTACTGGATTTTTTTTACCTCAATCAAATTTCAGATGCCTTGACTTTTTGTTACTTTCCCCATGCACTGAGGGTGATCCATGGGTAGCGAAGGAAGGCACCTCTAAGTTCGAGGGTTCCTGGACGCCTAGGAGGGCATCTTAGACTAGGCAAGGTGTCCGAGCCCCTTCCCCACCTTGAGACAACGCCTAGGAAAGATGCTTTTCATACAATGATGTGCAACCATTAAATTGTGAATATGAGATCAGAAAAGTCCAACTGCATAGGACTTAATCCCCTCCCTCTTGTTCTCTCATTAAGAGGAAGAAGATGGGAGCCTCTCACTCCGTTTCTCTCCAAGGGGAAGAAAATGAAGAAGGGAACCTCTCTTGTCTTTCTATCCTTTACAGGCCCAAGAGTCAAGAGCAGTATCTCTTTCTTTCTCCATCCTTCCCAGGGAAGAAGCCTAACGGTTTGGAAGTTATGAACCACTTTAAAAACAACAGCAGCAGCAACAACAACAATAACAATAATAATAATAATAATAATAAATAATAATTAAAACAGGAAACTAACGAGCCTGAACAACAAACAAATTGGAGACCTGTGAAATATACAGGAAGAGAAACCATTTTCTAGTGAACCTCTAAATAACAACAAAAATCTTTAAGGAAGTGTTGCTTTTTCGGGGCGCAAGAAGGCTCTCCTTGTCTGATCTGCTCAAAACCACTTCTGTTGGACACCTGGCCCAGCTGTGTCCCAGTCCTAATCCATGGACTATCCTTCATGGTTTCCTTTGCTGATTTGGCTTTATAAAATTCTTCACTTCTAACGTTCAAACAGAATGCAGTCTACAGTAGACATGGCTCTGGGCATGGACCATACTGAGTTGACTCATCTGGTCCAAAGGTTTGGCAACATTTCTTCATTGAATACTTGAATTTGAAGCATCCATTTCAAGCCATAATATCAGTCATCATGCCATGCAGACGAGTACCAAATCCAGATATGGCATTGCCTTGGAATCACGTTCTAATTTCAAATATTCTGCCAAGTGAATTATCCCACAGGCTATCATATGTTGTTTGCAAAGGTTATAATTGTAAAACTTTTAAATTTTTTTGGCACACCAAACCACGAGAATGCTAATAAATACTTCTCCAAAGCATAGGAACTTGACTTGTTGTTAGTAAACTTCGTACATCATAAAGAAGTAACTTATTCAGTTGATTCATTTGTAATTTTGAACAAGTTTGGAAATTAGAAGTTTGAAACTTAAAAGAGTTTCAATCACAATTAGACGTTCTCTAGTGAAACTTAAAATTCACTAATATGACCCAGTAAAACATGCAAAAAACAATGAGTGATCATTCATACTGAGGATAGACTCGACTGCGCAGGCATACTAAACTTTTGAGCATCCCACGCTTTCAAAACCCTGATAAACAATAAGAAACGTCCATTCTCGGTAAGAAAAATAAATTACTTGCACTTCTATTCTCCTACGGCTCAACTTAATAGCCCTTTTGAACAAATAACCATTTAAAATTGAACAATAAATTCATTAAACTAAGTTTAAAACTTCAAATAGCAATTCATTGTACTAAGGAATATTGAATTCATGCCACAATAAAATGACATCAAAGTCCAGCTAATTTTAAGAAACCCAACAGAGTTTTCCATAAAAATCGAACTGTCATGACTGCGTTCAAGGAAAAAAGAGAGAAAAAGAGGGTCCATCTTTCAACCAACGAAATATAACATACCTCTGTCTGCACTTAATGGATCTCGTCTCCAGGATGCCTGCTCCCTCAAAACCTTTAGAATTTCATCAGTTGTAGAAGAATTTGTATGAGAACCACTGTTTAGGTTGCTTCCTCTACTAACAAATTTTCCTTTGCTCGAAGGAGGATTGGACTGTGTATAGCCTGGTCCTATATTACGAGTCAGATCACAACAAAGTGTGCTTCTATAGTGCTATAAGTATGTTTTTTGTGGAATAAGATCCTTTCACAATGTTATACGATAATATGAAACAATGAAATTTACTACTGAGGTGCATTACATGTTGGAAAGAAGATCATATTTTCCTAAAAACAAACCCAAAATGTCATATATTTGAGTTTGCTAAACTGAATACATGGTTTCAGGCGAGGGCGAGGGTTTATAAAAAGCATGAGCAAAAATCTAAATAAAAGCACAAGATAAAAGCATCATTCAAAATAAATGAAAAAAGAATATGAGAAATTTGAGCAATTCCAAAAACAGATCAGATGGAAAAGCATGAATTGCATAAAAAACCATTGTGTACATGATCATTATGCAAGGAAACAAAAGAAACCGAGGAATAAATTCTCCACCTCAAAACAAATTTCATTTTCCAATGATACTTTGACTTTATCGGAATGCACTGTAGCACAGCGGAGTTTAATTCTGGAACAGTTAGGGAGATAGATTTTTTTTATTTTTTTATTGATGCTGTTAGTTATGGAGATAGATTAAAGCAAGAAAGCACAAAGAAATCCACGATGACAAAAACATTTGGCATCAGCAGGAGTTTGACTGCTGGTGAATGATTTTCACTTTTCAGTTTTCACTGGATGTGCAAGACTATGGGCCACAGTAAGTGGACCACAATTTGAAAGGGTCTATTGGCATGGAGCCACTGATGGACCATGGTGTGTGCACACAATTTCAAAAAACAATAATATCAGAGTTTACCATGACAAGCATGGACAAGTCAAGCTACACAGAACAATATGACATTTTCCTTAGCTCAACCTTCTTCCCTTGCAAGACTAATTAAGTGGATTCAATCACAACAAAGTCGAATAAAACATTGATTTTGGAGGAGACCAGTGTTTTCCAAGATAACTCAAAGGGACTAAATAACATGCTATTCATAGCTTTCCTCCAAATCGAGGAAAGGTTTTTAGAGATATCAAAGTTTTCGAACTCGGCTTGGCCACAGAACTCAGCTATGGTGTTGCCGAGTTACTTGGACAATTGCAAGTCAACTTACCTGAGTTTGTGCCGAGCTGAGAAAAAGCAAAAATCCAAAACAAAAGCCTTAAAAATTGCTAAAAATAGGACAAATTTTAAAAATGATAAACAATGGAAAAAGTATATAAAATATGAGAAAAAAATTTCAAAAATTTAAAAATAAAAAAAGTGAAATATCAATTTCTCAAAATATCAGAAAAATAAAAAACACGAAAAATCATTTAAAAATCACAAAACCAGAAAATTTATATAGAAAACTAATAATAAGTCAATCATAACTGATCTAATTAAAGATTAAATCAATTGTAAATCCATTTTAAACAATTTTAATCAACTTTTAAAGACCACAAGTTTGGGCCTTTGTCTTCTTTTTCTTTTCTTTTTTTGGTTTTGGGGGTTGGGGGTTGGGAGTTGGGGGTTGGAAGGATGCAGGGGAACTCGTGAAATACACTCTATTGAGCCCGAGTTACTCGGGCAATACACTCTACCGAATCCGACTTACTCAGGCAACTCCAAGTCCACTTGCCCGAGTAGTCAATGTCAAACCACAGTTGCTGGAACCTTGAAGGAAAGGTCACAGACCCGCTCTGGAAACTCGATACCACGATTCCAGCTTGAATGGAACATGAATCCCTATATAGTAATCCTCGTCCTCAGTGAGTTTGAACATCGGTTCTCAAGTGTATGATGCTGTGCATATGATGTTCTCTATTCGGCACTTATTCATATGCACTGATTCAGGTTCGTGCCCAATAGTACTGTGAACCCACGCATCATTTGCGATCCCTTAAAACTTGCTATTGCGAATCCTTTCTCATTGAACCGTGCTTCCCTGTGACACGGATCCTGCTCCCTAGATATAGGATCGTACAGATGATGATCCTAGCCACAAGGAGCTTACAACAAGCCACAGTTCTGCGGACCCGAGCCAGCTCCCGCTCCCAGGAACGCACCTGACAACTATGAGTCACACAATGAGAGAGAGAGAGAGAGAGAGAGAGAGAGAGGAAGGAGACAACCAAAGCTTATATTGGTAGAGAGAGCAAAGAGGTAGAACCATCTAAGGAGAGCTCATCAGCAGCTAAGGTGGTCACTAGAAATTTAAGGCAAAACTCAAAATCTTGGCCGCAAATCCCATTTTCTGGATTCTCTGAAACATTTCCAGTGAGTTTTTGGATGGATCTTCAGCCATTTTCATGCCATCATCAACAAAAACAAGGCTAAAAGAGATTCTTGGACCTAGCCAGCCATGGGAAGGGTAAAGGTTAATTTTCAGGAGGCATTTTCACTAAGCTTTGTACACAGGTGGAAGCCATTATTTCACCAAAAGCTGTACAATAACAATTCTAGAGCTCCATTTCCACCAGACCCACTTTTTTTTTTTTGATACTGTTAACTGTTCAACCAGGCCGACATTAACATTCAAAAAAAAAAAAAAGCAGGTTAATTTTCAGGAGGCAATTTCCAAGCCACCATTGCACAGAAAGCTCCACAACACTACTTCTAGAGTTCCATTTCCAACGGGATCACACTAACATCACAAAAAATTACAAAAAAAAAATACCACTTAGAAGGAATGTTACGTAGGGGAAAAAATTTTCTAACAAAGCACACCATGCTGAAAATCTTAGAATATAATTTTCAGGAACAGATAATAGAAGATCACAAAAATAAAACAGGAAGATGGATAATGAAAACAAGGTGAAGGATAAGATAGGTTTCTAAAATAATAAATCTGAGAATCCATTAGAAAAATCACTGGAATCAAGAGAACCTTGACAGAAAAGGTAAGATCAACTAACAACGACTGGAAATTGGAAAATCAGAAAATGGAGAACAGATGCCTTCTATTACATAAAAAGGATTAGTAGTTAACCCGTCCTGTCATCAAGGGGAAAATAAGAAACTAGGTCTCAGAAAAGCCTGAAGACAGCCAGAATCATAAAACATCCTAAACCTGGCCAGAAAAATAAACAGAGAGAATCCAGTTAATTTTTTAATACGTTAAATGAAGTCAAATAAAGATTTTGAAAATAGAGATGGCAGAAAATTTCACTGGCCAAGAACCAAGAAGGTTGCTGAAAAGACAATAAGAGCTGTATTTTGTCAGATATGGAACATCAAATGAGCAAGACAAAAGTGTCAGGCATCCGTCACTAATGAACTTGCTGTTTATTCCAGTAATGGCCAGGAAACCAGAAGCTTGCCAGGAAACAAAACAGCAACGCTAAAGTTAGCTCAAAGCATACCAGAGGAGCTCAGACATAAGCTTAGATTCAATAGCCGGTGTGTGTGAAGAGGTAGATAGAAAGACAGAGAAGAGGTGGAGAGAGAAAATAGGTTGGCTTGGCAGAAAAAAGGTAGAGAGCGAGTCATGAGAGAATGAGAACGTCGATTTTGAGAGAGAGATGTGAATATCAAGTCGTGCGGTAATTCAATAAAGATAATGGATATCAAAGTAAATTTATCATGTCAAAAGGAAGAGGAGGTGGATAACAGTTCATTTTTTAAACTGAGATGGGGATCATAGGGTTCACAAAAACCCGAGATACTAACTGGACCACAAGTTCCAGAGGAGGGGACAAAGTCATTTTCTCATGATTTAACCAGAGCCATTTTCTCAAATAAGTTGAATCCTATTGTTATTGACACAGCAACATGCAAAAAGACAATGAAGAAACACAAGGAAAATCAGTGAAGCAGTTATCAAGGAGAATATTCTGAGATACTCACGTTGTTGGGATGCTTTTGGTTTCGGTTTGGCTTGTTCCTCATTTGTTGACTTTGGTTTACCCTTCGGAACAGGCTTTGCAAGTGACACCTTAATATTCACCTGAAGAAAAACAGAGACACAATATCCGCTTTGAGTAGACATGCCAGTACGATATCAAGATACAAATAAATTTCTCAATCAATTATGCTAAACCTTTGAACCCTCATCAAATATTTCATCCTTAGGGAATGCCTCAATACAAGCAAGAGCAGCCTCGCGTGTAGTGAAATTGACAAATGCAAAATCCTTCCGCCTGGCTGAGTAAATATTTCGTGCAAGAACAACCCTTGAGATCTCTCCATACTTCATAAAGTGTTTCCTCACTTTATCTTCTTCCCAGGAAGATGGAATTCCCTCTGCATACACTGATTTTACCTGCAGAAGGTTGAAGCATTGATATTTGGATTTTCTCCCTCAAATGAAGACCTGGCTTTTCTACATCAGTGTAGATACAAAGGAAAACAATAGTATATGGAACTTGGAAGCTTTTGAACAAGTTGCTATCTTGCATTTGGACTTGTTTATAAAGGAAAAAGAGCAAAACAAAACCTTCAGCATTTCTTCCTCATCTGGATCATTCAAAGGATCAGCCCAAGAAACTTTAATATTTCTGTCTTGTCCAAAGACATCCTTCTTCTGAAGTATCTTGAAGGCATTCAGAGCATCTTTATTCGTTTCAAGCTCCAGGAATGCAAAACCACGGTTCATATCAGAATTATTTAAGTCATTCATAACTTTAACCATAGAAATGTTCCTAATACCAGCTTCATTCAACAATTTTATGATCTGGTCCAACCAAAAACAAAAGGTTAGATAAGCGTGCACGATTGAACTTAATAAAAAAACTAATAAACAGGGAAATGATTTTACATCATCTTTCTTCCATTTCTTGTCAATGTTGCCGAGAAATATTGTATCATTGTCCTCCATGGCTGCGGTTCCACATTGCTTTCCACGGACCTTGAATTATATCAAAGAGTGCAGATGAAGACGCATATCAAGAAGCTTGATTTTGATTTTCTAAGAACTCAATTTCGAGAATACCGAAAAAAATTGGTAGACAAATCAATTTAAATGAGCCAATGTAATGTTTGCAAAGTTTTATTTTTGTCCCACATCTATTGCTACACCAAGGATGAACATGGAAAACAAAAAGTGGCCTATGGGGGTGCAATATTTTGGACATTTACAAGCTAATATTGCACAGCCCCCCCTCTTAAAATGAGGTTCAAAGAAGGGGGTGTATGGAATTTATTTAAAAATAATAATAAGAGGGTAGATGCTTCAAGAATCTAGGCAAAACCCATGGGAAATAGTTGAGTTTGTGTGTGTGTGTGTGTGAAAGAGAGAGAGAGGGCGCTTCAATGTGAACTAGAGAAGTGCCACAATTTGTTTCAACAAGAAATCCATAAAACCGTGTCGTAAAAAATTTCGGTAGGAGAATTTTCAGCATTGTTTAAAAGCAAGGACAACATACGGTTCCACTATGCAAACTAAAGGCAGAACTTATCTTTCATGCGTGGAATATCTTTACATGTTAAAATCATCATTGCCCACTACAAAGGATAAAAAATCCCCACATCCAAGATATTATTACAGCACACTGATAAAAACTTTTGCTGATAAAAAGATGTACATAATTGATGACAAATGGTTACATACCACATTTGGATGTGCTTTTCTTCAAGTTTATACCAACTTTTTTGTAATATTTTTCCCATGTATAGAAATATTCAAGTTTTGAAGATATTGAACAATTATCAATTGTTTTGCATGACCTGGTTTCCATAAATTTCTCATGGCTTTTCCAATTGGAAACACCCTTCCTTATAAGCAACATCATCTTCATCAAGAGAATGATAAATACATTGAAATAAAATACATGTACAATTACAAATTTAAGGATAGGGATAGGTACATAACCGTTTGCTGTTTTCTAGTCCCTGCTCCCCTAGTTAGAAAATCAGTGACATAAAAGGCAAATCTCCAAGTAGATGACAAGAAGAAAAATCCAGTGATTCCTTAAACTCAAAGGTTTACTCCATATAATCATGCTGCAGTTATCTCATACCTCATCCATCTGTCGCCATTCATGGAGTCAATTTCCACTATGAATGGGTAAAAAGAAATATGACGAGAAAAGTTGTAACATAGACAGAAAGGCTCTAGCATGAACCTCATTCCAGAATTGCTTCCTATTCAACATTCTCAAATTTGCTCTGGAGCTTGCTGCAATTTCGCTGAGGAAGAGATATTGTTGGTAGTAAACTTTTTTTTCTTCAAAAACTTTGGTATCTCAACTCCTTATGACAAGGACATTTTTTTATAAAAATAAAAGAGCAAATATATGGAAATAAGAAACAACTCAAAAATAGAAAAAAGCAAGTATTTCAGAAAGTTTTCATTTGAAAACCATGAAATAGAAGCAGTCAAAAGTTTACCTATCTTTTCCTTAAAAAAGTAAAACAACCCAAAAAGTGAAACATTGGGGCTTCTGTCATAAAAATTTTATTGTAGAAAGTTTTAAAATGCCCATAGTACCCAAATTTTCAAGCACACAAGCATATGCACGCACAGAGGTACACGAACGCACGTGCACAGGTTATCCCTTCTAAACGCCCACCAAACTAGGTTACTTTTTAGAGCCTATTATAATTAAAATGAATGTATGGCAGACGTGATTGGGTCAATTACCTTTGGCTCAACTGAAAGACCCAAGACTTTGTAAAGCTTTCACTTAAACAGCCTTATCAACAAAACCAAAACAATTTGAAAACGATGTTAGAAGAGGACATATATCTACATTGAACTATTGTATTCCTTTAAGGAGACCTACTTTTGAATACACTAGATTCCAAATTGGCAGCTTCCACCACTCAGTAGTGGAGTTTGAGCTCACAACTCCACTATGTCCTCTATCAAGGGTCATACCATCAGTAGACCAAAAGTCATCGTATCTTTCTCACTACTTCTATCCATATCCATTTGGGCCTTCCCCTTGCCTTTTTAGAGCCTCCCACTTGAACCAAACTGCAACTCCTAACCGGCGTTGTATTAGGCATTCTTGCACATGGCCAACCCACTTAAGTCTACTTTCCCTCATCTTATTGCCTATAGAAGCCACACCCAAGTTCACTTGTATGAAACGTAACTTATATGACTTCCCCTATTAACCCTTCATAGAACCTTCCCCTATATTTTATCTGGCTCTTCAACCCAAGGGTTTAAAAAACGACATAATACACCAGATTATTGGCTGAAAGTCTGTGATCCTGCCACTGTTGGACACATTTCAAAGCCAAACACCTTTGAAATCCCTTCAACACTAAGTACAATGAACTCCTCCAAAATTTGCCCACGTAAGGGGTGGGTGAGGCCCAAATATATGACAGGTAGAGAACTAACCTTACATCCCAAGGTCTTCATCACAAAATAGAAGCCGCAGTCCCAAAGTCAAAGTCCAATCTTTAGTTGCTTGTAGCACCTAAGGAACATCATCTAGTTGTCCACCTAAATCTATAGATGAACCACAAAACACAAAGGAGTGCCCGACTAGCAGAACAAGACAAGGCAGCAAGCCATCACGTTCCACCTTAATAAACTACACAGTTAAGCTGCATCTATGAGGTAGCCAAAGGTATTAGGACATTGTATCTAAAATGGGCAAATAAGAGCTATGTGCTTCAACCCTCTCCCATTGCTGAGATATGCCTTAGAGAATCATTTCACCATCACATAAATATCATGGGGCAAATAAGCAACTATCTCCACTATTCATTAGAACAGTCTGTCAAAGTAAATAAACCCCCATACAATTGTACGCCTTCTCCACAAATACTTTGCATGTGTTCTTAATGCTCCTGACATGTTACAGGAGCACCAAAATCAGACCTCCCATATTAAGAGTGTCAATACCAACAGGTCACTGGAGCACCAACAAGTTCGTACACTCTTGTAAGCTTTCAAGTAGTTGTCGCCAAATTTTGATGCAACCTGTTTTTTTATGAGCTTTTCCTTTAAATTCCTACCAAAGTTCACTGATTTAACCCAAATTCAAAAACTATGGACTGTAAGCTAGCATCTGCAATTAGTTATTGATTTTTCCACATTTTTCCTGAACTTAAAACGTCCAAAGTAATTAGGCTCTAAAGTAAATTGCCGAGCAAATTATAGATGACTGTAGTATTTTATATCATGTCCTCCAAAAGTCTAATTCCGTTCTGCATATAATAAATAAAATTTATTTTAGTTATGTAAACATAGAAAAATGAAATTCATCATAGACATGTATAGGAAAATGAACAAGAATAAAATGGAAATGATCAAATATCAAAGAGAAAGTCTAAATGAGAAAACCCATCAAGCCATAAACTCAAGATTTTCTGCCACTTTTCGATACAAACAAATCATATGGGTTAAAGAAAGTAAAAATCAAGGAATGCCCCAAAAAAAAATTGAGTAAGAAAAAAAATTTATAAATTCAATTGAACTTGGAAAATATTATACCCTTTACAAAAAGAAAATGTAACGGATAAAAAAGAAAGAGAGGAATTCATCAGAATACCTCAACTCTTGCTAGCTCAGTGACAGCCCGCTTGGCCTCAGCTGCATTTGAATATCGACAAAATGCGTAACCTTTGTTCCTCCCAGTCTCACCGTCCATCATGAGCCTCAATTCAACAATTTCACCCACTTTCTCAAAAACTTTGCGTATATCTTGTTCAGTCGCATCTCTGTCTAAACCCCCAATAAAGATCTCAGTCTTCTTCTTCTTCCTCCTCTCTGAAACCTCAGATTTTCCAGCTAATTCAATTCCTATTCCCATGCTTTTCTCTGTGTCCACTGCATTTTCCTCAAATTTCTCATCTCCCTTCAAATTTTCCACTGGTTTTTCTTCTTCATTCAATTTTTTATCTCTCCTCAAATTTTCCACTGGTTTGTCTTCTTTGATTTCAGAAAAAGCCCTTCTATGGTCCTCCGGTACACTAACCCTAGTTGAATCGGGCTCCACAGACTCCACATTTTGAGGTTCTTCTGTGGTCTCTGGTGCTGCGGTTGTCGTTGAAGCTTCTTGGGTTGATGAAAGGTTTGAAGAAGGAGATACCTTTTTGCGCCTAACTTTAACAATGGTTTTGATGATCTTCTTCTTCGTGGTTTTGGTGGTAGTTTCGGTGTTGGCTACAGAGGCCTTGGCAATTGTTTCAGGGGCTCTGATAGTGGTTTCAGAGACTTTAGAGGTGGTCTCATATGCTATTGGGGTGGTTTCAGTGGTGGATTTAACAGCGGTTTCAGGGGACTTGGAAACGGTTTCAGAGGCTTCAAGGGATGATTTGACAGCGGCTTCAGGCGATTTGATGGTGGTTTCAGAGTACGCTTTATTAGTGGTTTCGGAGGCTTTCGCGGCGGTTCCAAGTTTGTCCTCAATGGCGGGTTCAGAAACTTCGATGACGATTTTAGAGGCACTCTCGATATCTGTTTCAGAGGAATTCTTGGTGGTCTCAGAAGCTCTGGAGGCGGTTTTAATGGCGGTTTTGGGGGTGGTTTTCCTTGCAGAGGTTTTAGGTGTGGATTTCGCAGAGGCTATTGACGCGTAAGAAGAAGCTCCTACAACTCTTCTAGGAGGCATTTTACAGAGATATAAACCGAATACCTAAATAATACCTAAATTCCAAAGCCCTCAAATCCTGTAATGGAACCCCAACTCTGAAACCCTAATTCTCTGAACGACGAACCAGAGTATCGAGAGCTGCCATTTCATGTGCCCTAAGAGAGCGCGGGAAGGTTAAAAATGGTAAATGACAGGGAAAACCACGACGATCCCCTGAATCCGTACAAATAATATGAAAAATGTGGAAGCCAAAATATGTTATGTTCCCGAGGGAGCATGTCTTCTATTTACTCCCTCGGGCAAAATCCTATTTAAGAGGAATATTAAGACCCTAAATTTTGGAGTTGGAACCTCTTTTTCAGGCTATACCTTAGCCTTAATTAAAATATTTCTTAATTGCATGCTCTTGAAGAAAAGGTCTAAGATTGAACAGTTGTCAATATTTGGAGGGTGAGATCAAAGTTAGGAAACTCAAAATTCAAATTTTATATTTTAGAAATACTTATCTAATGATTTTTAAGTAGTTCCCAAAAATATCAGATTGAAAAAATCCTCCAAGCTTATCTTCTCATCGTGGCGGTAGGTTTACATGAGTATATTTATATAAGTTTGCAAATTTACTTGTACAAGTAAGATATTTACACCATCGATCTTAATTCGACCGTATAGATTTTACACATCTTTTAAAATATAATTTCAAATCTATACCATTGCAATACAATGGATTGATGCAATTTTACTTCTATGTGGTTACCACCATGTGCATATCTTTCTGTTATTTATGTTATTTAAATGGCAATTTGGATTAATTCCTAATAGACATTAAATATTTTGGTGGAAATTTTCACTGCCATTTTTTTTTTCGGCTTTTCATGGAACCAGCTAATGGCAATGTATACAAATGAAGTTCTGATTATGATTACGATAATTTATTAGATTTTAAACCATTCTTAAAAAAATTCATATCTCGGACAATCTTTTAAAAAGGTATAAATGCATTTATATACAAAAGAAATATTGTCGACTTAAAATGTGAGATTTAAAACCTATAAAACGAGAGACTTGAGATAGGAGTCCCACTTTTCCAATGCTTTTTTAGAAATAATTTCTAGGCGTTTAATTGAATTGAAGATAGAGATGGATTTATAAAATTTGTCTTCAAAAATAGAGATTGAGAGTGAAATGTGAAGCCGAATAGTATTCTAAACTCAATAATTATGTTGAACAACCAATTTTAGAAAATTAATAAATAAATAAATAAAAAGTTAAGGACAATTAATAAGGTATTTTTTTGTTGTACAAGTAATATAAAATCATAGAATACTATTATTACTAAGGTGTATATAAACACACATACACGCATGCACATAAATAAAACTTGTTGGAGTATGGCCACTAAGGCTTCATGACCACCATAATGTTCGTGGTCTCTCTCTTACCTTCTATTTTCAAATGCATTTAATTTAATTTAATTATATTATATATTTGTTATAATTGTCTCAGCATTCAAATATTTGATTATCTTTTATGGTAAATTTCATTTTTTTTTTCTTTTTTTTCTTAAACACCTATTAATGATATTCTAACAATCACATTACACCAAACGTTTTTCTTTGAAGTAGGAGATAGACAGATAAAAATAAAAAATAATAAAAAAATAAAATAAAAATAATGATGCTTAGCTATTGACATGGGCAAAGATAAATTTAGACCATTCGATGCAAAACCTGCCATATGCCGCAAAGCGAGAGGCTCCAATGCCTATAAAAGAGGATCACTCACCCATTACAATGTTCACAGAAAAATCTCAGAGCCATTTTCGATCTTTCTAGGTATCCATAAACTTTTCAACAATATTCTTTTTTTCATATCTATCTTTCTCTCTATTATTTTCAATCAAATATCTTTTTTAATTATTTTTCATTGGAACTATTATTTGGTTTGCATGGTTTCTAGTATAACTTTTATCATGTAATCACGTAATTCCCCTTGATTTAGTAATGAGTTAGGTTTATCTTCTTCTAAGGAAAATTTAACATGTAATAATGAGGCAAAAAGAAGATATAAGTACACAAAAATGAGATTTTAGGAAGATCTTCCGGTTGAGAGAAGGAGACCTTGGTTGTTGTTGTGTATTTGTTGGGTTATTGTTAAGTGAAAGTATTTATTGGAAAAGTTTGTATTTTTATAAGGTTGGCAACTTTATTTGTAGAATAAGATTGCAATAGTTTACATTGTTTATTTTAATTAGATGGTATAAAGGATATCACAATCGCTCTTAGCCATCATATTGAAACCAGGTATCTGGTGATGTGCAATTAGATATACTCAAAAGTTTTAAAAAATTTGCTCGAACTTTGTGACACACCTCTAACTGATGAATTTTATTGTGACTTTCTTATACCAAACATAGCGGACTTACAGTATGCATGCAGTCCCTAACCAAAAGATTACATGCTCTTGTGGGATCATATCGTCCACTAACTCCCTCTAGTAAAATCCAACCTATTAGGACCCCAGATTTTGGAGATTATTGTCGTCAATTAAGCAAGTAACTTTTAAACACAATGAAAAAAATAAATTTATCACATGCGCCCAAGATAAACTATATAACACCTCACCCATTTGTATGCGCCCAAGATAAACTATATAACACCTCACCCATTTGTATGCGCCCAAGATAAACTATATAACACCTCACCCATTTGTATGCGCCCAAGATAACCTCACCCATTTGTTTTTTATTTAAAACGCATGAAATGACACATCATTGCGAATTAAAATAGTTTATATTTTAGTGTGTTTTGATAAATGGGTAAATTGTTAAATAGTTGATATTTTAGGTGTAGTTTGGAATTTATTTTTATTTTTATTTTAAAGCAAAAAAAAAAAGAATCATACACGATCTATAAGTGCCTGAAAAATAATGTCTTGTGAATAGAGAATGTCAAATTCATTTGACAATAAAATCCAAGTATTAAGGATCTCAAATTCCAATCATTTCTCTAAGGTGGATCCCATAAAATTTCGGTCGAAAAATATTCATCCTGAGCAGCGCTTTTGCACGAGGTAATAAGTCTACAACATGATCCTTAAGAGTATTAGCTCGTTATTAAAATTGTATTGAACAAGCATCAGATTATTTTCGGCTATCAAGCACATGAAATAATGCACTCGACCTAATTCATGAATAACCCTAGGGCTGGCAACGGGCGACCCAACCCTAGCCCTAGTCTGGTCCTCGTCCTTATAGGAATTGCTCTAGTCTGGCCAGCCCGAACCAAGCCAGAGAGGCCATGACCCATGCCCGGTCTAGGCCCACTTGGTAGATCCCATGTAAAAAAAAAAAATTGAAGGGGTAGGCCGGGCTGGGCTGAGTGTAGAAGATAAAAAAATAAAAATAAAAAATAAAAAAAAAAAATGAAGAAAAAGAAATAAGGGGTCAAGCCAGCTCTTTATTAGTCCTCACCCACCCAGGTCCATCCCAGCTTGGCCCTTGCCTTCATGCAACTTTTTATGGCCCAAGCACTAGGTTTTCAAGGCCGTGCTGTATTGTCTATCAACAGTTATATATTTAAGTGAGGCGATGATCCCCTTTATAATAAATGTCATTTTCTATTTCTCTTTTACCCTTGTAATATTTAAGTAATTCCTTTTGCATGTTTTTCATTAACAAAAATATAATAAATAATGATATGATAATTAACTATATGAATAATAGTTATTATAAATTATAATAAAATTAAAGTATATTCATGTTAATATTTATAACTATGTAATTATTATGAAAATGTTAATTACATTATTAGAGTTAGAATATAATTATTATCTTAATAATATATTATAATTTGGTATCTATATTATATTTTTTAAATACATGCAATGGAAATTAAATAATGCACATAAATAATATAGTAACACATAAATAATTTACCTATTTCGCTAAGCTGGTCTAATATCCAATAAGACAATATAAAGAAAGAGACATTCGTATTTTATCATTGAATATCATATATTTCTATCAATGTCATATTATTCATATAACCTTCCAATGAGTCCTAGTAAGCAGGTGCATTTTACTAAATATAAATCAAGCACAGTAACCATTCTCATAAGCATCACCAGTAATGGTTTTCAGTGGCCATGCAATAAGCTATAGCCTTCCAACTAATTAACCCCATGGGAATGAAACAAACAGAATAGAGAAGTTTACAACATTATGCAGTGAATAGATTACAGCCATCTTCAAGAGTTGGGTTATGGCTATGGTAATCTAAGGATAAAACGAGTCAAGAAACTCTCAAATTCTAGTGGGATTACCCCAAAAAAGATCACAACCATCAACATTCTTAAATCTTGCTTATGGATCCAAGAATGATAGTAAAAATAATGCTCCAAAGTCTGGACAATCAAAAGCATTCACATCCGATCCATAAAAAAGTTAATTGACATCTGTCATGCAATTCAGAGATGTGATTATGGACAGTAACTAACATTCTTGCTCAATCTTTTAGAGCAAATGAGTATACAATGCTCCAATGCCTTATCCTCTTTCAATTTTGTTCTTTTGTCACAATCCACTACCCCAACCCAAGAAAAAAAAATAAAAGAAATAAATAAAAATAAATAATAATGAATGAATGAATAAATAAATAATTAATTAATGCAAACCCCAAAATTGTCTGGTGTAGCTTGTTTGTCTCATTTCCTGCTCATCAAGATCCTTGCTTAATATGATTTACACTGATATCATAAATGGTTTTTATCAACATGGTGTCCCTGTCTTGCACTTCAAAGCACCAGAGAAGCGTGTAAGGATGCCTACATAAGATCCTGGCTTGGCACGTATGCTGATTTTCCTTTCATATTTTCTCCCATTTCCCGATTGTGTGAAAATGGCACCATTCTTAAATAAATCACCCTCTGATTTCCAATTCCAGCTTCCCCAATCCAAATCTGGTCCAAATCTCTTAGTTATCTGCAAATAATAGCACAAAATTATAAGAAGTCAATATTAGAACCGTAGATCGCGAGATTGAGGGGACATGCATGATAGTCAAAAAGCCAATTAGACGCCATATGGTTATTGCTCGAGATGCATAATAGGAAAAATTACAAATAATCCTCAAAACTAGACTTTCTAAACAAGTTACCCTCAACCAAACTATTTTCTCACTTTCTTCCCAAAAGTACACTTTTTAAGGAAATACCCCCCCCCCCCCCCCCCCAAGTAAAAAAAGGCACATTTTTTGACGAAAATGTTTTTTCTCACACATAAAAATTTAGTTTTGGCATGACATTCACATGGGCTCCTAGACTGCTCTTTGATATTGTCGGACCCTGTTAAACTAAAAAAAGTGTCGGATCGCTCTTTGATATTACCAGACAGCACTGTAGGCTTGTTGCCAGACTGCATGGGCCTATTGTTGAACCACTCCTTGGTAGTGCCGGACCGCATGGGCCAATTGCCATACCGTTCTTTGTTAGTGTCGGACCGCCACTGTTATTTACCAAAACGACATTACACTGCCGAACCACTCTACGAATATGCTAGACCGCCTTTTTGTGGGAAATAGGAGAGAGAGGCGTGGGTAAAAAGTAAAGGAGGGTAGTTTAAATTTTTTTTTTTGTGGGTTGGGGGTATTTGCTTAGTAAATATATTTTAGGAGAAAAATTGAGAAAAACTGAGGGTAACTTACGCATAAAGTCTAATCTTGAGGGTTATTTGTAATTTTCTTGACATAACATATATAATAAATTGGTACATAGTACCCCCCACCCATAGCCCGAGTCTGAGTCTCTTGGGTCGAGTTAAAAAACGGTGGTATTAGTTGCAATATAGGAATATCATGTCCTAATCTTAGTGCTAATTACATGTGATAAACCGTGTTTATCTTTATTTATCATGATAAGTTCGATAGGTGTTAATTGCATTGAGTGAAATGAATTCATCATCTTGTTTTGAGACTTTCCTTTATTACCGAGATATACAACCTGTCTGATAATGAATTGTATGTGCTCTGAAAGAAAAAATATTAATTTAAATTTTGGAAAAAAGAAAGTCATTTTACATTAGAAATTTGTTCCAAAACATGAATAGAGAAATGAAAGCCAATTTACAAGTATCTTGATAACGATAATGTCACCAAGGTCTCCACAAGTGCAAGTTGCAGAAGAATTTAATATTTTTCTAATATTTTCGTAGCACCAGACTGAATTAACAAAAGCGGATGGCTTGAAAACCAAAGAAATCGAGCGGCCTTACATTTGCGATACCAGTCATCTAGATAATGCATAAGGCATGGGTTTTAGGGCGATGTGGTGTTTCTAACATCGGACTGATCAAGAGATTGCGGATGTTCGGTATCTCTTATCTCAAAGTTTCTTGAATTACAATTAAAGAGGGAAAAAAAAAGAATTCTGATCGGTCCAATATTGGGAACATCGGATTGCATGCCAAATTTTGAAAAACAATGTATAGGCTAGGGGATGGACCTCAGTGTAATATTAGGCAAAATATAGAGCATGCCATAATATGCTTTTTTTTTTTTTTTCTTATGATATGAGGTAAATTTTTCCAATAAAAAATTTTGGTCTATGTTGATAAAGTTCCCAATTAAAAATGGGGAAAATATATGATGATACCATTTACCTTTGTACAAGGTAGTCACAATTAATCTTGACCATTGGATGTGAAATTGAGTGGTTGCATTATTTCATTGACCAAGCTTAAAGTTCAAAATAAATTTTCTTGAACTTTATGACACACCCAAGCTATCAGATTTCACATCAAATGGTTGTAAGTAATTGTGACCTCCCTATACAAAAGGTAAATGGTCTCATTGTATACAATCCCTTAAACATCATTTGGAGTTCTCGAAGATCTAGATCCACCATCCACCAAATATACAGCTTGTGACAGACTCGTTTTCTCCCATCTTCTTTTTAGGTAACTCACTCTAAATACAAATACTCATCTGATGCATAGGGGTTGGCAATGGACCCAGACAAGACCGAGACCTGAGGGGTAAACCCAATCCAGGTTCACTTATGGGTCCAAAAATTGGACCCGATGGGTCGGGTTTGAGTCCAAATGTTGGACTTAAACACTATTGGGGTTTGAGTTTGGGGTGGGTTTGGTAATATTTTTTGGGTCCCAATATATTAAATATATTTATACATAAATATTTTAGGGTGTGGTTTGTAGAGCCGAGGCTCTAAATAATCAAATTAGAGCCCACCTTTAAATAGTGTCGAGAAATATGATTTTAATAGTGGAAAGTTTTGTGATAGTCTTAAATTATATTTAGTTATATTTTCACCTTAGTTATAAAATTTAAAGCTTAAAAAATAGCGTAGATCGAGTAGATCTATAAAAATTTTGAAAATTGATAGTCAAAAAATGCATTACAAAATGCACTTTTTCCAAAACTTGATGTCAAGATGATAAATTTGATGATATCTGGGCGTCAAAACAATCTCTTATAGTGAAATTTCCGTATTTCAATAAATAAATAAAATATCAAACAAGTGTTATTAGGCCGATACTCTATGACAACATTAGACTGATCAAGATATATGATGATCTTATGCCTTCAATATAAAAAATCACAACTATATCTAGCCATCAGATGTGAAATTGAACAATCGGAGACAATGCCAACAACAATATCAATGTTTTTCTTTAAAAAAAAAATCTTTAAATTATGTGTGCCAATATGGCGTACCCTAACGGCTTGATGTGACATATGATAGCTCTAGGTGTGAGCGACCTTGTGTACAAAGGGCAATGTTCTCTTTTGTACACAACCACAAAACATACAAATAAATGGACATAAGAAGCTTACCTCCTTAAAGTATGGATCAAGAGGGGCAACAAAGCGATTGCCTTGGCTTAGTATTGTGGGGTTCATGCTCCCTCCTATGGCATATTTGCCCCAATGTGTATAATCATTGTTGACAACATGAAAGTATCCAAATCTACAACGAGGCATTCTTTGACTAAGCCCTTTGCCAAAGTGATTGAAGGCCACAGTCACTTGCATGACCTTGTCCATTGGGTAAAGATCACTTCCACCCAACAATAGCACCTACAAAGAATCATGATATGCCATTTATTATTGTTCTCATTAGCCTTAGGAGTGGCATCCGGTTGGGTCCGGGTCAGGTGCGGTCCCTATTAGTATTTGGGTCCAAGTTTTTGACCCAGACCCAAAAAATTGAGAGAGAGATATATTCTAATGATTTAAAGAGAGAAAGAACCAACCTCATCGTGTTTGGAAAAATGATTGTTAGATATGGTGATAGCCGTAGAGCCCATGATGGCATCCACAAGCCCATCTTGGCACTTACTCAATGTGTTGTGATCCACCCAAACATTGGTAGACCCATATATAGAGATACCATCCCCATCACTCCTGGTCCTAATTCCAAAATGGTCCTCAGAGTCCCTTATCATTCCCCCATTCCCAGCCTTGCAATCATGTATATGGAGACCATGGATTATAACATTTTTCACATATTGAATCGTGATGCATGCTCCATAGGCTATGTGCACATTTGCTCCTCTCCCATCTACAGTCTTGAAACTATTGACCATCAACTCTTCAGTTAGTTTTATGACCATATCACGCTGAAATATGATCCATAGGGGCTCATTTTGGATCACAGCATGGCGAAGGGTGCCTGGTTTAGGGTTTAGCAGGTCATTGTCTGAAGGATCTGTGACAACATAGTATCTGCCATACTTTCCTCCTAGGGCTTGTTGTCCGAACCCCATTGCGCAATCGGCGAGCTTTTTGCGATTTGTGTGCCATTTCTGATCGCACCGCCAGCACCTGTCGATTGGGTTGGTGGCCACGCATGGCCCGTGCCATCGCCGGCCAAGTTGCCGCCTCATGTGGTTTCCAGAGGGCAACTCCCTGTGGGGACATGGTAAAATGCTTTAGTCTCTTTTTTTTTTTTTTAATGTTTAAACATAGAATGTTAGTATGTGAAAGATAAGAATGGGCTCCGGGTTAGGAGGTGAGGGTGTTATAACATGGCACCTTGAATTCTATTCCTACCATGGGAAAGAGAGAGAGAAAGAGAGAAAGTATACGTGTCTGGCTGAAAGAGAGAGGCCTTGGATGAGAAGAGAGAGAACTGCACAATGTCTATGTATGTGCTTTAGAGAGAGAGAACTAAACAAGTGTGTGTGTGCAAGAGAGAGAGAATGAGGGATAGAGAGAGAGGGCACACTTATAATGTTAAGAGAGAGAGAGTCATACATATGGACAAGGTGGGTGAGGTTGCGGGAAACGGCCTCAGGGTCAGGCTCGTATGCTGCTTGGGCCTCAAGCCAAGATTGATGAGCTCGAGCCTCCAAGACTGAGTCATCGACCAGAGATCGATGGGCTCGAGTCTGTAGGACCGAGTCATAATGTAGATTGCTCCTCACTTGGTAACGACTGGTGCCATTGCTGGCCTGACGTTCCCGTTCCCGTTCCCTTTCTCTTTCATCTTTGGCTCTGCTTTCTGATTGGTATTGCCTCACAATCATTAAAATAAACGCAATGGCCATTATAACTAGAATGATTCTCGCCAAAAGCTTCTCCATTCTGTCTCTAGCTGGACGCCCCAAGAGTGATTTTTCTCTCTCTAACTCTTTCTCTCTCTTGATTTCCTTTTCCCTATGTTGTGTTTTTAAGAAAGAGAGGGAGAGGTCAGCCACCTAAAGTGGCTGAAGTTCTTAGGGGAACCCTGGAATTATGCAAGTGAAAAGAAATGGTTATTGCAAAATAAAGTGGATAGGTATTATATAACTTGAATGGTTTACCAAAAATGAAGAATAAAAAATAGAGAAAAAATAAAAAACATGGAACTTGAATAAAGAATGACCGAGCCGCGACTTGACTCTAATTAGAGGTGATCATGATGGTAGGTGCCACAACATGAAATCTTCAATTTCATTTTCACCATGTCTCAAATTAATATAAAAGAAAAAAAAAAAAATACAATGAGACCATTTATCTCTGGTACAAGCTGGTCATCACTATTGGATGTGAAATTGGGTGGCTACATTTATTGCATTGACCAAGCTCACTACTCAAATGAAATTTTCTAAGACTTTGTGATACATCCAAGCTATCAGATTTCACATTGGATGGTTATAAGTAATTGTGACTTCTTTATATCAAAGTTAAATAGTCTCGTTGTATACAATTCCAAAGAAAAAACTTTGCAAGTGTACTTTGTTGTTGCATCTTCTATGGGGGCGAACATGGTGCAATCAGCTTTTCATTTGGTGTGTGTTAGATCTATGATAGATGCGCTGAAAGTTCCTTTCTATGTTTCTAAAAATTGTTCATCTCAATATTTCAAAACCCAGTGATTCTCGATGAAAGATTGCCAATCTAGACTGAGAACAAGTCCAGTTTGGACCGATTCGATTCCAAAGTATCGTTACTGACTCGATCTCCCTAAAACACCCCCTTTCATATTTATTTCTTTATTTCTTTTTCTAAGCTTTTATAAACAAACCCCCCCACCCTTAAACACACTAAAAAAAAAGAGAAACACACACAATAACATGAACCTTATTTTTATTTTTTTTATTTTTAGATTTATTTGAGGTCAGATCCCAAATACTTGAGGTAAGACTTTGATGACGATGACAACGATGATAGTTTTTTGGGTCGATCAGTGATCAACCGATTCGGATCTATGATCCTGCCAATCCAACATGTGCTAGGTGGGCGATTCACCCCACCAAGGTGAGTTCTGAAATACCAGGTCATCCAGTGTTTTTAGAAACATCCCCAAAAAAATGTTCCAAAAAAACAAAGACCTAACACCAAGAATGGGGTAGGCAAACTTGTACAGGATAGCCTATAGGCTAACACAGTATATGTGTGTGTAAAATGATTGGAACTCCGGGTCACACATACAACAGTAGATACCAAATGACACATGGTAGAAAGGAAGAAATTAGATGCCTAATGATCCATAGTAGAAGGGAAGAAATAGAGGTCCATCGTTTTATATAGTTTTTTAAATTTTAATTTTCTCTACAAACATAATATAAAATTTCGAGGGTATTTGCACCTCAGTTATGTGCACATAAAAAATATAGACTTATTTCGAACAAACTAAATTGGTGGCCCTGATTGAAGGAGAAAGTATAATTTGACATATTTCTATTATTATATTTTGAGGTATGAACACCCCAAAATAAAGTACATCAAAATTAAAAAATTTAACCTAGCTACATGCCTGGCCCCATTCTTGAATAAACAAAAAAAGAGTTAGTGGTTTTTCAAGCTGGAAACTGGCTGTAATCCTAAGGTGGCCAGAAACTGGTTTTCGGGCATCACTCCATGCAATTTCGACTACCCCACGAAATTAAATTTTTAGAGAGAGAGAGATCTAAAAAATATAGACTTAGAAGAGCCAAATGTGATGAGAGAGAAACAGAAGAAAGAGTCACAAGGCCTATGTTAGAGAGAGAGACTTACAAGAGAGAGAAAGTGGATTGGGACAAACGGGCACTGGTCTGAATCGGGTGTTAATGGTGCTGGGTTCCTCTGGCCAAGGAGGAGAAACACGGCTTTGAATGAGTCTTATAGGACGATTAAATCCCATAATGACCCAAAAAAATTAGCAAAACCTCACTGGTTTACATTGTATTACGGGGAAACGGTTAAAAATAGCTTTTTTGTCTTCTCCCGAAACAAATTCCGTTGAAATCTAATTACCAACCACTTAAACAAATTTATGAGGAAAAAGATCTTTCTTAATTTAGATGACCACTTATTTCGGGTGTGTACGTAAATCACTTATATGTCGTTGAAAATTCTTACAGGAGCATATGCTTTCAAGAAATAGTTAATTACGTACACCCTAGGGAAAATACAATTTTGATGTCTTTATATGCATATATTACAAAACAAGGCAAGTCAATGTGATTTTTTTTTAAAACAAAATTACTCCGATTTTTTTTTTTTTTTTCAAAATCTTAAGTTGTGGTCCGATGATAGAATTCCCATACCACTTTTTTTTAAAAAAAACTTAATTTGTGGTCCGATGATGGCATTCTCGAATAGTTTTTTTTTTTTTTTTTCATTTGCTATTTGAGGATGGATTTCTCGGACTACAATTTAAGTTTTTGAAAAAAAACAAAAGCTGGTCCGAGAATGCCATATTCGGACCGCAACCTATGTTTTTGAAAAAAAAAAAAAAAAACAATCTGATAATGCCATCTTCATACCGCAACTTAAATTTTTAAGAAAACAAAGTGGTCTAAGAATGCCATCCTCAGACAATAACTCAAGTTTTGAAAAAAAAAAAAAATGGTCAGAGAATGAAATCCTCGAATCGAGGGGTAATTTCGTTAAAAAAAAATCGCGTTGACCAATATTGGTTGTAATTTTCAGGTATAAAGGGAGCAACTCGTATTTTTCTAACTTATTTCAAGTCCGTACATAAATAACACTTCAAGAAACATGTTTGTGCAACCCACCTTCAAGTAGTATCGAGAAATATGGTTTCAATACTATAAATCTTTGTGATAGCCTTAAAATATATTTTGATATTTAATTACAAAATTTAAAACTTCAAAAATAATGTAGATCGAACAGATCTATAAAAACTTAAAAATCTAAAAAATTGACGGTCAAAAAATACATTACAATATATATTATTTTTAAAACTTGAAATCCATTTTTTCTCAGGTCCATGCATCTTGATGTCGAGATGATCAATTTGAAGATGTATTAGCATCAAAACAACTTCTTCTTAAGAAATTTTTGAGAGCCTCCACTCTATATAAACTTTTTCGGGAGGCATATTTAAGTGAGTTTTCAACCAAAAAAAATTGCCCAAATTCTTAAGATATTTCAAATATTGTCGTATCCCTAATGTGCCACGTGTCAAAAACTACAAATACATGAATCCATGTTACGTAGCTTCTCATTAACCTGCACCATCATCAACCATTCAGTATTGGACCTCTATAACAAAGAAGCCAAAAGATTTTATGCTTCATGAGAGCATACTTTCTATTTAATCCCTCGGGTAAAACTCAATCTATAAATAATCTTAGGACCCCAAATTTTAAACTGGCCAAATTTTCAACGGTGAGATCTAAGCATTAGAAATTTAAATTTTCAATTTTCTCTTTTGAATAAAACACCTAGTAATTCTTAAATGGTTCCGAAAATTTCGTATTGAAAAAAAACGCCCAATGTCTTCTGCCTGAAGAGTAGGTGTACATTGGGAGCATACTGTACACTCCCAGCAAAGAAAACCCAAGTGATAAAATACCTTTTTTCATGGACCCGGTTTCTATGCAGCCAAGCCCGCATATGTAGAAATGCAGGCCTATTAATAAATTTATTTTTGAGATGGATTTTTTGACTTAATTTTTAAGGACATGTAATCTCTAACATGGAGATAAGAAATATGAAAAATAAATAAATTTTAGAAACTAGAAATAATAATTATAGTAATAAAATATTTAAATTGTTAGTTTTCATTGTTTTAAAATGGAACACCTACTTGCATCCATCTTTAAAATGGATGCTTTATACTTTTTGGGTCACATATATAGTCATGCGGTCCAGCTCGCATGAAACAATTTTCCTTTTCTCGTTCCCATATTTTCTCAGCACCTAAACATAGACTTCCTAACTTCATAAGAAAACCATCGATTACACAATGCATTTTTTTTTGGTTGGTTAAGATAATAAATTTTTTACATTGTTCCAATAAAGTTTCAAGAAATTTTTATCCAAGAAAGAAAAACCAAGGTCATAAAATGTCATGCTTATTTATTTCTTTTCTCACCACAAAACTAAACTTCATGTGTAACGAAATTTCAGTTAAAACCCAAATAAGTTTGGCAAACACTACCATAGTACACGGACACAATTTTTTTAGTTGGTAAATAACTATATGCAATAGGAATTGTCTATAAGGAGACTATTTGTCATTTGTACATAGTTGTCGTGATCACTCCCACTCATTAGATATCAAATTGGATGGTTTGGGATGAGTCACGAAATCCGAAAGTTTTTATTTGAAACTTTGTGTTTATTTAATGACACTTTTACAACCACCCATTTAAAAATTTAAGGGAAAAAAATGGTTGTGAGCTTCATGTAGAAAATGATAAGTAGTTTTTTTTAGATAATCCCAATACAATGTACTATTTACATTAAATTTCAAAGGCTATAGCCACCACAATACAATTATTCTTAACATTCAACAGAAAAAAAATTACAATTATTCTGCAATATTTTCCTTATACTTGAGCTTATAAATCACGTATAAACCAAAGGCCACCACAACCGAAACCACCACCCCGGTTTTTAAAACCACGTTTCCATAATCATCCCACCTACGAAACCACTCTGCAAGCTTCACTCGGCTTTCCAGTGATATTCTAGGATATTTCGGTGGAAAACCCCCTTCTCCCTCCTCTTTTTTGAACCCATCTTTCTCTCCTTCCTTTTGGGTCGGTCGGTCGACGAGTGCCTGTTCTTTTTGTTTTTGGGTCGGTGCGTCGACTAGTGTCTTTTCTCCATGCTTTTGAGACGGTGCATCAACTAGTGCCTTCTCTCCCTGCTTTTGGGTCGGTGCATCGATCAGTGCCTTCTCGTATCTGCTCTCGGACTCTGCAACCTTGATCTTTTCCCTTGAATCGTTAGTTTCTCCACCTTCTTTTTGGTTTTTTATGGGCTCTAATGGTGGTTTTCCCTCCTCTACTTTCCTTTCCTTTCCGTTATCTTTTACTCCAATATGAGGTTTTCCTGGGGCATCATCAGTTTTTCTTTCCATTTTCTGTGTTTCTGGTGAAATCAAAGGTGGTTTTCCTTCCATTTTCTGTTTTTCTGGTGAAATCAAAGGTGGTTTTCCAGTATCGGGGACCTTGGCTTCGGGTTTCGGCTCTAGTATTCCATTTGTTTTTTGGGTTTCGGCCACTTGTTGGGGTGCTTTACCGTTATCTTTGATTGGTTGCTCATCTTGTTTCTTCATTTTTTTGGGCGTTATAACAAAGAGTTGGCCTCTTTCGAACCGAGCTCTGATGCTCTCGATATCAGAATCTCCTGGTAATTGGACGTTTTTGGTGAAGCGAGAGGTGCGGCCGTCTTCCAAAGAGCGTTCACCAATTATTCTTAGGCCCCCTCTGTTATCAATTTGAACCCGTATCTCCTCCTTTGTGAAGCCTAGAGAGGGGGAAGGAGATAAATGAGTATGCATGTTATTATTTAACGCAAACGTTTAGCACCGGAAACTTCAATTCTAAAATTGACATTTTAAACACGACATATAAGTAAATCATTCATTCTAAAATTGACACTTCAAATACGACATCTATGTAAATCATCCGAGGGAAGTTGGGATTGTACAGCTATTATGTACTTTTTATTGGGGATAATTAAGCCAAAACAATTAAGAAAAGTATTCAGACTTATAAAGTGCTAGTGTCTTTGGAGTTTGGAGCACAGAGAATCGCTAATAACCATAAATATTGTGTCCATAGACATGTCTGACTGAGATCAGTGAGTGAAGATCGACCCATTGATCCACTTTTAAGAACATTGGTTAATAGTTTTCAATTCAAGAAAGGTGGGCATTTCTTTTCGCTTTTTTTTTTCATGATTAATTTGGTCATTTCTTGTATCATGAGTTATGCATTGCCAAAATTTAGGTCTGGTTGGTTAGTGATTGCATCTGCCTAGCCACATTTTTCTCTATCTCTTTTTTTTCCCATTTGAAAGTTCAGTCGAAACAAATTTTTTCTAACCTACAATAATTTGCAGCTTACAATGATCAAGTGATCACTTGACCTATTAAAAAAAAAATGTTTGGGCTTGTCTAAATATTCAGACATTGTCGAGTATTCACTTGAGAGTTTTGTTAAAATTTTTGAAGAGAGCGACAAAAACAGAGAGATGGATACCTGGTAAATGTACAAGAAGAATGTTGGATTCGGGGTCAGGAATCCATTCTAATGCGGGTTGAAATTCTTCGACCGATTGTTTGGCTGCAGCCTGAGACCTTGTATTCATGGCGTTTCTCTGGTAGAGTGATAAAAAAAAATTGAATGTAATGGCAAAGAGTGATGAAAACTTTGAATTAGGAGAGATTTACAGTATGAATGAGGGTTGTTGGATTGCTGGAGAGTATTGAGTGCATTTTCATGTTTAAATGGTGACATATATATACACATGGAGTTAGTGACGCTTCTAGGGTTTTCATGTATGTGATTATTCCTTAGTTTTTCTTGAGGTTTATGGTTTGGATGGCCTTCCTCTTATTCAAACTGATGCTTTCTCTTCTCTCTCTCCCATCTCTTGAAGCAAAGGAAATATTCCTTGTTTATTTTGTACTCTTTTTGGTTTATGGATTTGATATGTCTCTTTTCATACTAAAACCTTTTTGACATCCCAAGAAAATGCATTGAATGAGACCTAAGCAATCTAGGGCCCATGCATTGTCTGAGTTCATGATTCATCTCTCCATGGTGATTTATTTATGTGGAGGTCTTCTAGTGTACTCTCGAAGGAGCGCACTGTGGATGTACTCATAGGGCGAGAAAGTCACTTGGATAACCTTGTCGCCCTAAAAGCAGCAAAAGGGAAGTGGGATGGCTTCATCGACCTGAAATTTTTGGGATGCACTTTAAAATCACCACATTAGCATTTTGAAAACAATTTTTTTTTTTTTCCTATTTTAAACAGTTTGATCTGGTCACCAAGAAACTAGGCAGTCTATATTAATCTTGAGATGTTGTTTTTCTCATATAGAGTGGTATGAGCCTACATCCATAATGTTGTGGTCCTAAACATACTCATAGATAGGATTTTACCCGAGGGAGTGAATAGACAATAGGCTCCCTCGAGACCATAGAAGCTTTTGGCGTTTATGTGTTTTGGGTTATGTGAATGGATATCAGTGTGTAATTGCACGTTATGCGATTTGTTGCATGTGAATGTGGTCATGTACATAACGCCTGGTTTATGCATGCAGTCCCTTAATATTAGGGGGTTAGCGAACAAAAAAAAAGTAAAGGAAAACCATAGTATGATCCAATGGAGCATACTAACAAAAGGACCGAAAAGGTCATCGCCCGTCTGATTAACGGGTTGGACGGCGATGTATGGAGATTCGTATATAGATCGTATAATTGAATTGATGTCATGTTTTGTGGAACCCACTTGTGCATCCATCGCCCAGCCTACATACTAAGGGTCTCTGATTACTCCGAAGAGCTAAAGGCCAAGTTGTTATGACTTCCCTAAAAAGGATAAAAAATACAAAAAGGGGGACGCTTATATAAGTTGACAGAAGGGACACCTCTTGATCTGGTTTGAAGATGTAGTTTCGATATCGAAGACTTTATAATGACATGAAAATCTATTTTCTATCTTTAGGTAGGATATTTAAAATACCAACAGAGGTACATATTAAGCAGATTTATAAACACTTAAAAATCTTTAAAATAGATGGTCAATATGATTTATTCCACGATACACTACTTTTAGTGAGTTGATTTTTTTGTTTTTTTTATTAATATCTTTATATCTTGAGGTCAAGATTATCAAATTGGAGGATTTTCCTGCATCGGATTACTCTCTTCTCTGTGAATCTTTGAGATTGACCTTACTTCAAGATTATAAGGTTGATACGTTATGTATACTTTTTTCATTTGTGTTATCATTTGCGGAAAAATATTTTTTAATAATAAAATATTATATATTCTTTCAAGAGCAAAATGTACATTTACTCCTTTACACAAGATTCTATTTACACGAATTTTATGGACCCCAAGTTTTAGGAATATTCTGTGATCATCATAGTCATTCTAATGACGGACTCAAAAAAAAAAAAAAAGAGGACAAAAGCGAATAAGAATAATTGTTGAAAGGAGAAACAAAGTGCTCACACGATGTGGACGGTTGAAATTACAGAAGATAGATTGAATATAGGCTGATATAAGGGCCACAAACCTTATTTGTTTTTTTATTTTTCATTTCTTTTACCTAATCAATTTACCCGAAGAATTGAGTTGTCCATTTAACCTTACAAGGCACGCTCAATATAAACAAGAAAAATTATATTTTATCTAAAAATTTGACCAAAATGGCCCTAAAATCATTCAGGTCTTTCAGTCTATAATTGGTTGGCTCCTGATCCATCCTAACCGGGCATTCCAAGTTGAAATTGGCAATTGTTTAAACAGAATTTACAAAAAAAAAAAAAGTGTAGACTTTAAACAATCAAAGTAAGATGCCCATCCAAACTCTATTAGAACATGCTGTTCTAGTATAGAAATCCTTACACTTGTTTTAAAATCTATCTCCACTTCTACATGAAATTTAAAGCTTAAAAAAAAATGTAGATCCAGCCGATATATAAAAACTTACGAAATTGAAAATAAAATGTATAAAATGAAACCATTTATCTTTGATACAAGGTAGTCACGATTAATATTGACAAGTGGATGTGAATTTGCTGCATTTAGTTCATTGACCTTGCTCAAAGTTTAAAATAAATTTTCTCAAATTTTATGAACCACCTATGCTATCAAATTTCACCTTGGAGAGTTTATAAGTAATTGTAACATCCTTTTACCAAAGATAAATGGTCTTATTATATACAATCCCTATTAAAAATAAACAGTTTCTAGATAATATGGTACAATATGTGTTAGTTTTAGGATTCAAATTTTTTTTTATCGATATTCATGCATCTTGAGGTCATGATGATCAATTGAATGGTTTTCAAGCATCGAAATAACTTTTTCTAGTGGATTTTTTAGGTGCATCTTACTTCTATAGTGTAAGGTTAATGCCTTACATAATTTTTTTCTTTAAAAAAATCTGTGCCCTAAAAAAAAGAGGAAAGAAACACATGTAGTGGATGATTTTTTGTGTGTCGATATATTAATGATAGAATCACAATTTAGAAAACCCAAGCATTTGTTAACATATTTTTCTAGAGATAAAATAATTTAAATTAGGAATTTAGAGAGAGAGAGAAAGTTGTTAGCTTGGCATACATCCAGTTTTGTCACTCTTATATAAATGTGGTTTGACGTAGAGGTGCGGTTTACCTAAGGTGGTGACATAATGAAATATTTGGTATTTTGTATTGTTCGACTTAGTTGGATAGTGTCATGGTGTCAGTTTGATATACTATTTTAAGATTGTGTATAAACAATAAAATGATGCATATTTTAAGACATTGCTAAAATCTACAACATCAAATCTAAATAAATAGCATAAAAAAATCATAATACAATTTTAATGGTTTGTATACTATGAGGCCATTTACTACTATTATAATAAGATCACAATCACTCATAACCATTAGATGTCAAATTTGATGGTTTAGGTGTGTCATTAAGTTTGAGAATTTTTTTTTAACTTTGATCTTGTCAATGACACATTTATAACCACTCAATCTAAAATTTGATGAACATAAGTAATTGTGACCTCATTGTACTAAAAATAAATGATTTATTCGTATATATATTTTTATTTTAATGAACAAAGTTGCTGCTTTATATAAGAATCAAGTTTGGGTTTGAGTGATTAGCAACTTATGATCAACAAGGTTGTATCTCAAGTTCGATTCCTACTGCTCAACTACCTAAAGAAAAAAAAAAGTTGCAACCTTGCATAAACTTTTTCCTTTGCCTACATGTCCAATTCATTATGGTACCAGGCTCCCACTTTGAAAAATAAAACAAGGTGGCCCTCCTCTATCGGAAAATGTGATCGAAATTCAAATTTGACACTTAAAAATCAGAAAAATGGATAATATCACATATTAAAACTTGAAGTTGCTATTACTATGTCTTGAAGTTAAGATGATGATTAATTATAGAGTCTTTAACCTAATAAAAAAACAACCTTATTTTATGAAAATTTTTAAGGTGTGCCGCACTTCTACCGCAGAAGGCTCACATCTTTCATTCGTTAGTGGCTCGTGTCATTTATATCAAGGACATTTTTTAAACCAAAAATCCCTTTATTTAGGCTTTTTTTTTTTTGCTTTTTAAAAAGAGCATGTATAGTGCGGTCCTTAGGGAGCATAGTTTATTTCTACTCCCTCTGCAGGAAGATCTATAGGATTTTTTTCAATCTGAGAGTAAAATATTTTTGACTTCTAAAAAAAATAGCACATATACTATCCTCCTTTAAGAGGATAACATACACTTCTCCTTGGGGCAGAAGACTATTTGGGAAAAAAAATTTAATAAAAAAAAGAAGGATATTGAGTTCTTAAACAACTAGATCTTGCCCTCCTAAATTGGACGGTTCTTGTTCAATATTGGCAGATTAATTTATTTGACACACATAGAGAGTTTCATTTAGATTTTTCTTTTTCTTGGAAGTTGGTTTTTAGGTTGTAGAGGTTATATCCCAAATTTTGAATCCAAAATGAACTCCTTAGCATGAACTTTACCCCGAGGGAGCAAAATTACATTATGATCTTGCAGGAGCAGCAAGTATTTTTTAAAAGGAAAAAGTTTATGTAGAGTGAGGGCTCTAAAAAGGAATTAAAGCCCACCTTAAAATTTCAATAGAATACGTTATTTGGATCCTCAAATATCCTCAAATTGATCATCTCGACATCAGATAAATGGACATGAGAAAAAATGGATTTCGAGTTTTGGAAATATTGCAGCTCGTAACACATTTTTGGACCGTCAATTTTTCAGATTTTAAAGTTTTCATAGACTTACTGGATCAATACTATTTTTGAAACTTTAAATTTTATAATGAAGTTGGTTAAAAAAAGAACACCATGAGCGTTACCCCGAGGGAGCAAAAGTACATTCTGATCTCGCATGTGCAGCAAGTCTTTTGGTTTTAAAAAAGAAATCTTTTTTTTATTTTTATTTTACTTTTCATTTTTCTCACACTAAAAAGCGGGAAGCTGCTCCCAATTTGAATGGCACGTGAGCTCCGATCACTGAAACCCTTTATCTTCCAAAAATCTAATTTGCCTCCAAAACTCCATTGTTGCACCTTCGATTGTTGTGAATTATTTCTTAGACTTGTTTCCACATTTCTCTCTCGCCAAACGACGACCCCTACACGGACCTCATTCTACTATTCTCTATCTAAAACTACATTTTCTCTCTCTAAAAGTTGCGAAACCACTCAATTTATGCGAATGATTAGTTCTTGAATCCTGGATCTATAGAAACCCTCGATCTCATTTGAGAGCCATTACTTATGCGCTGGGGATGGCGCAATGGGAACTGACCTCACTCTACATTTTCTATCTGTAGAAGCTCAGAAATCCTCAATTGGAGAGGAACATGGATGCTAACTTCTGAAGCTAGAAACCCTAATTATCATTTGGAAGCCAATTTATTGGGCATTGGGGATTCAGTAATGGGAGCTGAACCAGGTCTTGATTCTCTATTTCAGTCATTGAAGCTTCCAGAGCCATGGCTATCCCCAAAGCCTTGGGAATCAGTTGTTTCTGAAAGTGGATATTTTAAACTTCAGAATCCCGATTCAGATGAAGAATTTTTGGTATCTGAGTCAGTTTACGATCCAGCAATTGTATCGGTACACCTTGTCTACCCTTATTTTTGTTATCCATTTTTAGTAGTTGACCAGATATTTTGTTGATCTTTCTCGCAAAAATTCTGTTCAGGTTTTTTGTTTCTAGTGGTTTGAGTACGTTGCGTATTGACATGGTATTTTTTCTTGGCAAAATTCGGTTCCTTTAATACTTGAAGTGCTATAAGTGACAAGAAGCTCTAAAAAACTGGGAGAAATTTTAAGAAGGTTATAAATAAGAGGAAATAACAATTCTTAATCACGATTTTAGTTGATGCAATTTGCATTACAGAGGAGAAATAAGCGACAAAAAGCTCTAAAAAAACTGGGAGAAATTATAGGAAAGTTATAGCCAAGAGGAAATACCAATTCTTAATAATGATTTTAGCGGATGCAGTTTTCATTACAGAGGAGAAAAACCTTGCTAATCAGCAATATTTTGCTACAATAATACCTAAAAAATGGGAATATCTTGCCATGTGCTGTGTCTTCTGGTGCCTATAGCAGGAAATCTATGATCAATTCTATAGCCATAACTGACAAAAGTTATTCCTGCATATTATATCATCCTTCTTTTTTTTTCTGTTATTTGATGTCAATCGCATATTTGCATAACATATTTACAATTCGTGTTTGGATTAAGTGAACCAAATTGATTGACCTTGAGTCCTAACTTGGCCTTATATTGACAATAATACGAGTAGTGTATATTTCGGGTAAGCAAATGACTAGGACCCTCATGATTTTTAAATATGAAACTGGTTTTTGGTTGCATTTCCTCCAAAATTATCTCCATGTACTGAAATACGGATTAGGAGTTCTTTTTGCACTCATCCTCAAAACAAGCTTTATGTACTTACAATTGTGGTCTCAATAAACTTGTGATAGGCTAGGTTCCCCAGTTTGTTGTAAATAAGTTTCTGATTTTTGCTTAACTTCTGATGGATCTTGATTTGCGGTTTGTTCACATTTTTTATTTATTGCATTTCTAAAAGAGATGGGAAGTTGGCAAAGATAATAGGTTAGTTGTTCTTAACGATGGGAGTTGGTTTCGAAAAACACTTGGCTATGAAAATGATCCATATTTGTGTCAAGAAGTTTTCTTCTGAACTTGTGAAAGTAAGCAACTTTTGAAGCCCCAAATTGTTGATAGTTTTCCTTGTATCTTATAATTAGCGGATCAAAGATGTGAATTTTCTATTTCTCTTATGGTCAAAATGATAAGAGAACCTGAAACTTCTTTGCTTTTGTTGCAGGAGGCCGTTCTAGTAAGGCTGGCCCTAAATGCTCTTCAAGGAGTGAAGTCAGCAATTATTTCCCTTGAAAATTTCTCCTCAATATTTTGTTCCAACCCAGCTGATAGAAGCTTGCATCGAGTTCCCAATATCTGGGATCGATATTCCAGCATGAGTGCATTAGGAAAGCTTCTGAAATCTATAGTTCACTCCGGCGTCATAGTCTACCTTCTTGAAAAGTTTGTTGATTATTTTCTTGGGTCAATACCAAATTTAAACTGTTACTCCTATGAAACTCGGGCTGATGTCATGGGTGCAAGTTTATGTCAAGAAAAAAGGGGTCATGAAACCTTAAGAGTTGATGAAATTGATTCAGTCATGGAAAGTGAGGGCAAGAGTAAACTTGTGTCTTGTCATTCATATAGTTTGGTAAATCAGGCATTTTCTACATCAGTAAAAAGAGTTCTTGAAGGATATATTTGTGCACTTAACACTTTACATGCCTCTGTACAGTTAAGGCGCTCATCAAGTGTGGATGCAGAAGCGCATAAATCATCAATTCCTTTTTCTGAAGATGGTTGTCTTGCTAGTGTGATTAATTCTGGAATCACTCTTTTGGAGTTGTACCTTCACACCAAGGAACTAAGAACCCATATCGAAGGACTTGGGGCTATATGCATGGTAAAGAATGTTTACCCTGATTTCGAGACGGCTTCTGTGGAGGTGTTGATCGCTAGAAATTCATTAGGGTTTCAGGACTTCCCCATAGGAGCTGATCTGCTCACATATCTCTTTGTTCAACTTAGGGTAAGCATTCTCATACCACGAGTTACCTTTTTTTATGTATGGTCAATTTTTTGGTTTCTCTGATTTTCTTCATGATATGTTGCATTGATTTCTACCGTGCCCACTGTAATTAAGAATTTGTAAGGTAGGAAAATGAGTATTATTGTTTTTATCGACCTGTTGCTGTATTACAGAAGCTTACGTATTTAAATTAATTTATATTAACATGAAAGGCCTATTCCTTGGATCAGTACAAAACAGCGACACATATAAAAGTGGTGAACGCGACATTGATACTTCTCTGGGAAATAAAGTACAAAGAAGCACAAAAGATGTTAGCGGAATAAGTTTCATGCCTCTGACACCTGCAAAAACATATTTATGCATTATGCCCTCATTACAAAGAACTACATTGGTTTATGAATAATATCCAAATTCACCATTTTATATGAAGGAGGTGAAAATTGTGATTTATGAGGATGGAATATTTATGATATGGCACCCAGACTCACATACAGGGACACTCTCACAACACACACACACATATATATAGATACTGAAGAAAGTGACACTTAGGCATGATCTACTTCACATTTCACTAAACAGACTGCTGTGCATAATTATATGTTGCATTTCACTATTTCTCTTCCCAGTAATGGAGCGGTATGCATTAGGTAATCTATGGGAGTTATGAAAAAGACTGTTTGATCTAACTTTTAAATAGTAAAATATGAGTAATTGCATTATTGATACATGAGTCTTTTGTGTGTTTGTTCAAACTAAAGAGGATTTGGTGATAGCATAACCCATATGTTTTACCTTCATAATTTTCTCAATGGTTTTTATTCTTGGGAGTAACAAGGTTGCTACTCTTTGGAGACCAGGCATTAGAAAATATCATTTACCTATGTTGTGATGAAAAAAATGGTCTGTTTTTCCAATCATATGATAACTTTTGTAGTGCTAGCAAACAAGTTTAGGTGGCAGGAAATATGATATTTTTTCACGTGTACTTACTCAAAAAAAAAAAAATTCATGTGAAAAGATTCTTATCTTATCTGCGCTTTTTATTTGATGGCTGATATTTGTGGAACATTGACTTAAATTTATGAATCCTGTGTGTTAAAAACAGAATACTATACATGGGCTGATCTTCTTAATTAAAGTGCCAAACCTGTGAATATACTAAGTCTTATGATCCGTATGCTATGAATTTTGTACTGATGTCCTTTCTTCTAGGATGCTGATCCAGTTCATAGTGCGCTTCTTAAACTTCTCTTTGTTCGTTCATGTGAACCATATTGCGGGTTCATCAGATCATGGATTTATCGGGCGAGTATAAATGATCCTCATAAGGAGTTTGTTGTGGAATGCTTAGACACCTCATCATGCAGGTCACATATTGGGACTGCTGACGCGGATTGCTCCCCTGTTCCATCCATGAAGGTAATATCACGGACTTGGCAACTTGGAAGTTATAAGTGTTATATAAATTGATGTTGGTGCCTATAACATAACTAAGCAATGTTCCTTCTGCAGGTTCGTGTTGGGGTTTCAGTTCCATATTTTTTGAAGGACATCTGCACTCCCCTCTTCCGAGCTGGTCAGCAGCTTCAAGTACTGATAAAGTTGTTGGATTTGCTGAAACCTTTTCCCATAGAAGGTTCTAGTCATACCGATGGAAATCATTCTCCTTTGCGTATGGCTAAACTAATGAACTTCCTTCCATTTTGGGGGTGCTCTTCAAGTGATCATTTTGCTTGTTCTTCAATATTAAGTTTTGGCCGGAGCGACATCGAAGCATTAATATCTAAGAGGGAAGCTATGTACAAAATGATGCAAAGAAATCTTGATTATCTTTTTGCTGGTTCAAATATTAAATCTCGGCGAGTTGTGTCACGTGTACATGTAAGAGGATATCTCTTTTGCATTCATTTTATTTTCTTACTAGCTTGTTGATGTGTTCCCTATAGTGTGAAATTGGAGATAGATGTATATCTAGGACTATCACTGCGAGCATCCCTCAGGTTCTCAAACGGGTCCCTGAAATTTGGATTTTTTTCCTTTTCTTGGAGATTTTTGAAATATGTAAAGTGGTAAACTTAAATAGTTAATGGTTTGCTTAATGTTCTACTGCAAACAACTCGAATCTGATTCCTTGTTTGCAATCTTTATTTTAGTGTGATATTCTGGGGGTTACTTCTCAATTCTCAGCACTTGAAGTATCAGTCATTGAATAAATGCGTTCCTCAAGGATGTTGGGAAGACAAGCATTGGTTTTCGCATTGCTTTTTGGTTTTGCTGGACGGTGGAAACTTTTATGTCGATTTACTTTTTTTTAGTCCTTTTTTTTTTTTTTTGGTTTTTTCTACAATCCTGAATTTGTTGACCCATTTTATGATGTTACCACTGAATAACATTTCCAGTTATTCTGTTTCTTTTATATTTTTGTTCTTTTTTGTTTTCTGACAACCCACTTGCTTTTGTTGCCACAAGTTGAAGTTGTTTTGTTTTCCTTAAAGTGGTGTAGGAAAAGTCATCAGTACACTCGGCCGAGTCACTCGGACCTGTCAAGGTGCTGTGTGCCATGTCTGAGTGAAAAACCTTGGGAACTAGCCGAGTCTTACCAGTTCCTTTTGGAGACTTGACCACGTCCGACTTGGACTTGGCTGAGTCTGACGCACTTACTTTGACTCGGGTGCTGCTTATTTTGAAACCCAAGTCAGAGTTTAAAATAATGCGTAAAAAAGTAGGAGGGTTCTTAGTGGTAGCTTTCCATATCCTTTCAGGTAATTCCATCTAGCGCTGTTCCAGGTCCTCTGGAACACAGAGAAGGTAGTGCACAAGTTCCAGTTATTGCTGGCAATGCATCTTCTGCTCTGTGAGTTCTCTCTCTAGTCTTCCTTTTTTGCCTACTTTGGTTCTTTTATGAGGAAATCTGGCCTCGATGTCACTGCATTTATGGAGTCTTTATATGTTGTAGTTCTTTAGTTTATTATTATTATTTTTATTAATGTGTTAATTTTTCATATGATATTTTGTCATACGATATTTGTCATGCTTATATCTTATTTTGCTTCATATATATTTTTATGTAGCAGCTATTTTTTTTCTTATGCTGAAATGGTTAGATCGTTGAATGATCTTTCAGGGATGTAGATTCAGATTCTTTCAGCATATCAAAGTTTTCTGATGAATCAGACACAGTTGATGAAGATGCAGAATCTTCATCATTACATAGTTTTGATGAGCCACACATGGCTAAGAAGTTCATGGATTTACACGATATATTTGTTTTCCAGAAAAGCGAAGATAGGTTGGCCTCTAAGCCTTTGGCTGATATTGTGGATGTACAGGAAGCAAATGAGGCTTTTAATCCTGAAAGACCATGGGATCCAATCTCTAGTTATGTATCTGCATCTTGTGAAGGTAATGAAGAAGCTGAAGCAAACATTAGCTCTGCTCATCTAGTTCAGTGTAATTTGAACTTGAGCCAGTTGCTTGTGTCTGATGCCCGAAGCATGTCTCCACTCCCTAAAACTCTTGATATAAATAATCAGTTTTTGACGGGCTGGTTTCATGGACTCCCTGGGAGTCAGTTTCTTAATGAGGGTGGGGGTGACTACATTGGATCATATATTTCTGATCCGATGCCGATTGGGACTAATAGAAACTTCGAGAATAAAACTGAAAGGTTCAAATGTAATGGGGATATGCCTGTTTTCAGTGATTCTGAATATGAGCCAGGTTTGAGAGAGAGCCTCTTTGAAAATAAGAAATTTGAGTACTCAACTGATGATTTTACTCCTCAGACACTGCCCCTAAAAAAGAACTACAATTGTATGAATATAAATCCAATACTTTCAAGAAGTTCGTGGCTTCAGATGTTGTACAGTTCAAGAGATACAAAATACATTGACAAGAGAAGGGTTCCTGCTGCCTACTTCAATTTTTTGTCAGTTGGAGACCTTGCTAAGATGTATGAAGGGGACTCTTTTATTTATGAACCTGAGAATTTTGATCCGGTTGAGATCTCTGAGAAGAAGGATCATGGTTTTTCTGTTTTGGGAATGGAGAAATTGGACCAACGTTGTGAGCAGAAGTATGGTGAGGGAAATAAAGTGGAGCTTGCCTTCCCAGCCAACCAGATCTCTCAACCGCATTTGAGATCTCCAGCAGATTTGTTTAGTCACTCACAGGAACCTGATGCCATAAATGGTGTTTCTGGAGGTGCTAAATGGGAGACTTTGTTGACCTATGGTGGGGATGATCAAACATCGCCAGCTAAAGCAAAACCCATACAAAATTCAATGGCTAGATCAGAAATTCCTTTGGAGATCATTATTGAAAAATGCATAGTGCAGGAGATTTTGCTTCAGTATCCTTGTGATTGTATTCTCCTTTGTTAGCTGAGCAATGGCCACCTTATTATGTGCATTTAAATTTTATTTTTTTTCTATTTTTGGCTGGGGACGCCTCCCTGCTTCTATATACTTCCTTTTCACCCCTTGGAGTATTTTATGTTTATGCAAACTTCTCTCTTGGAAATGATTACTTGCGAAATTTTCTTTGCAAAAAAATATGCATCTTGCATAAAAGTTTCCTTGCTCACGATGTGTATATTACTTTCAAAACTTAGGGAATCAAGGTAATATAAAGGCATCATTTATGGATATTTATGTTACTTTGTGTGGACCCTATCAGATAATTAAAATGGAAATTATTATTCAATCCGTGTCTTCTGAACTGTGGCAGCTGTTCTAGAAAATTTTCCTTTACAATGTTAGGTATCAGTATATTAGCAACTTCACTGTTAAATTGCTTGAAGTAGAGTTCGATTTGCGTGAACATTTGTTGGCTCTTCGGCGGTACCATTTCATGGAAGTAGCAGACTGGGCTGACACATTCATCTTGTCTCTGGGCCAGCATGTATGTCCCTTCAGATAAATATCAAAATCTCTTTTGGAAATCAGCATTTTTCAAAAAAATTTCCCTGTTGTTTCCTGTTTCTGTTGATGTGTATTTTGAAACTGATTGCGGTAGCCTTGTCTCTGCTGTCTCATTAAATTCGAAGCGGTACAGAGTGGAGCCCAATCAGAGGACATCTGAAATTCAGCGAATTCTTGATTTAGCAGTGCAGAGGTCTTCATGTGAGGGAGATGCATTTAAGGAAAGGTTATATGTATATCTCAAAGGAGAGGAAATTATACCCCCTACCACAACTATAACTGGTACAATTCTTGCTTGATGAGTTTTACTTCTTTTAGGATTCTGATACTAACATGTCAATTAATCAAAGGGGATTTTTCCATTTATGTTAGTTCTTGTATTGTTGTAATTGACTTCTTTCTACTTCCCCCCCTTTTGAATGACAGGTATCCATGACTTTGATATAATTGGTTTGGGTTACAAAGTGGACTGGCCTATCAGTATTGTCTTGACTCCTGATGCGCTAAAAATATATGCAACAGTTTTTAGTTTTATGATTCAAATCAAACTCGCTGCTTTTGCTGTAACTGATGTTTGGAGATTTTTGAAGGTATGCTTCCTTTGCATACACACTTTTTTTAGTCACTTGAAGGAAGGATTGGGTATTCTAGAAAAAGACTCAAAAATCAATGTGTATTTGACATTCGTAGATTGTTCATGTGTTTTGGGTTTTTAAATTCCAAGGGATATGGTTTAACAGAAAGAATATAAGTAAACAACGTGAACTCATTTCAGATTATTGCATCCTATTCGTCATCTTCTCTTTGAAATTTTCATTTTAACAGTCAATAAAGATAAATTTTAAATTGCGATGATGGAATGTTAATATAGAAAAATAAGGAATCGGGCTTGGGTCAAGACGTTAGAGGCTGGGTTTTTATAGCATGTCGTGTCTCAAATTCCATTCCTATGTAATATTGTGAAAAAAAAAAGAAGATAAATTTTAAATGAATAAAAAGGAGATCTTCATGTAATCCTAGTTATAAACAGACCACTAAGATAATGCCTTTGACATCTATGGTCTTTTGTTTCTTTCTATTTAATTTGACTACGTTTCATATTGTTTATGTGTCATCAAGGTTTTGTCTTTTACAAGTAGCAGAAGGAAATCTTGCTTCAACTTCCGATTAGTTTTGTTATTTTATATTGCCATTAATTTCAACGCCTGTGGTGGATTGTGTGGGTGTCTGGTTTCCTGTATGCAAGTATATAGTCTCTCTCTTTAGATTTGCATTCTCTCATTATAATTTGGGTGCCCACCCATGAGTAATATGGGCTTTTTTATTGTATGGCATTCTTTTTTGGGATTTATTTATGTATTTTGAGACATTGACACATTTCCAGGTTTTGATTCCGTTAATAAATGACAATCGGGCTTTTGGACTAGATCAACAGGTTGTGGAGCGCTTCCATATTTTAATGCTGATGAGGTACATGGATTACTATAGCAATCTGCTCAATCTTTTCATTTGAATGATTTGACTCTCTTTGAAGTTGTCTTTCAGCATAAACTTTTACCATTTCTTTTTTCATGATAATTAACTTATAATGTGAAAATCAAGTGTTTTCCCCCCTGTTGAAGCTAACAGAAACTGTAAAGTGTTCCTTGCATTGGCATTGGTCATTATTGGCTTCTCTATCAACATACTACCAAAAAAAAATCTTTGGTTTTTCTAGCAATCACTGAAGGTCAGTGCTTGTGGAGTTTCTCATTCAGAGGGTGTATTCGTATACTATCGTTCATCTAAACCAACAATATATTATCCGTATATGAAGTTTGGCTATTCAAAGATCCAATTGCCTTCTTCTCTATTTCTTTCGACTATAAGTAGAGATAATATGGCCATCCAAATATACTTCGTATGTTTGGCTTATTACATAGCTTCGTTTTCTGTGTTGCAGGCAGCAGGTAAATCATTTTATGGATGCATTACAGCAGTACATGCAATCTCAATTGTTACACGCTGCTTGGTACAAGTTCCTTCACAACCTTGATTATCAGGTTTGTACGTTTTTTGTTATCTATTATCTTGGCATTCGTATTAATCTTCAAGTATATCTGGTAAAATGTAATTCACTGCTTTCGAAGTAGTACTTGAACCTCAACACCCTGGTACCCGAGCCACTAGGTTAATCCCTTAACTATGGGATGCTATCTTAACTGTTATCATATATGTTTTTCTTTCTTCTTCGTCTTTAGTTAAAATTGTAATTATTAATTCATGATATGGCTTTTCTTGTACAGGTTAAGGATATGATTGACTTTGAATTAGTACATATGAGTTATCTTTCTGATTCTTTGCAGATGTGAGTTTACCTGCCATTGACATAAACACAGACTCATACACATAAGGTTGCCTTTAGCTCAAGACTGTTAACATTATGATTTTCTCATTCAGATGTTTCCTGTCTACCGAGATGAAACCTGTTCGGGACATTATAGACACCATATTGCAGTGTGCTTTAGACTTCAGATCATGTTGCATTGGAGGTTGCCATCGCTTAGAGTTTGCAAAAGAGTGCCCATCTGATCTGCTTCATCAAATTAACTTTTCTGAGGTACCTAATTAAATGTTAATAAGTCTTGCCCACTTATTTGGATTTTGCAAAAGGGTGCCCATCTGATATTCTTTGTCAAATTAACTTTTCTGAGCTACCTAACTAAATGTAACTAATCTTGTTCATTTATCTCTGCTGAACCTTAGTAATATCTTTTATCCTTTTTCTAATTTTGTGGGATGCTTTGTTTAATTTTGTGTTTTTCCATTTGTTTGTTCTGGCTGATTTCATTGTAGGTGGTTGACATCAAAGAAAAGTTTGACAAGAACCTCATGAAATTATACAGACTTTATCTCAACTCTGGAAAAGAAGATGGTCCAGGGCTCGGCCATTTTTGGACAGCCCTTGATTATAATGAGTATACATCAAGCATGCTTTCAAAAAATGCAGGTAAATCTCGATGATTTTCGCCATGAGAATGTATCTTATTCTTCTCTTTTGTCTACATATTGTTTTATAAAAAGACAGACATCTTTGTTATAGTTTGTGCAGATTTAGTTTGTTCGGGTTGAGCTACCGATTTGGGGTGTTTGGAGGTGTTTGGTTCATTTTGTTGCTTACCAATTTGTGATGAAGGACAATCTGGGTATTTCAGAAAGTTTGGACATTTTGGGTAATTCAGAAAGGTTGAGGGGGTTTATGAAATTAAAAGGGAAATTTCATACAAAAACCTAATTCCCCATCTTATTTAATGGTAGATCCCTTTTTGCGGCATAAAGAACGCCTAAGGATTTCACTTACCCCTTTATCTCTTATCTCCGTTGTTTATTCACTTTTGACTATAAAAGTTAGTCAAAACAAATCATTTTATAGTATCTCAACCTAAAAATCTTTTTAACCATATTTTCTCCCTTCAACTCCATTATATCTCCCACTCTCGATGCACCACATTTAAAAAATCTGTTTTTATTATATTTTTCCCTTTTCAGCCCCTCAATGCATCATATCTCCCACTCTTTCAATTCACCACGTTGAGGGCTCTCGCTCTTGCTCACATATTGGTCTCTCTACTCTAATCTTACATGTTAATCTCTCTAAATTCTGCAGTCGATTCCTTTCTCTCTTTAAATCTCTTTCTCTAATGATCATGTACCATATGATTTCTCTTTAATGGCCATGTACTATGCAATTTATCTCTAATGGTCATGTGATTTCTCTTTCTAACCATTTATCTCTCATCCCTATAAATCTTTTTCCAACTTGGATTTTGTTATTTGGTCTTATAAATATATTGTGTATATATTAGATACCATACTAAATACATTCTTGTATGAGTTCTCTCCCCCCTTCTCTCTCTCTCTTTCTAAACCAATCTTTTGCTTTTATCAAGTTTGAAGGGATTTATGCTGGTAACCCGTTAAGTGTATGATAAAATTGAGAATTAGGGTTAAAGAGGGAGACATTGGTTAGAGATGAGTGAAACACAAGATTAGAGAGAGACGTGTAGGACATATATTGGGTTTAGAGCAAAACAAATTTAAGAGTTTTGGGGTTAGCCATTAGAGAGAGATTCAAAGAGAGATTAATCTGCTCTAAAATTTAGAGAGAGAGAGGTTAACCGTGAGAGGGAGAGAGGCGAGTATACTCTAAGGGTTGCTGCCATGGTGAATGGAGAGAGAGCCCTTGTCGTAGTGGAGAGTGAAAGAGAGGGAGAGAGAGCTCACAGTGGTGAAATGAGAAAAGGGGAAAAGAGAGAGATATGGGCTGAAAAAGGGAGAGAGAAAGAGAGGGAGAGAGAGAGAGAGCTCTCAGTGGCGAAATGAGAAAAGGGAAAAAGAGATAAAGATAAGGGGTTGAAAAAAAGAAAATAAGGTTAAAAAGGTTTTTGGGTTGAGATAGTGTAAAATGATTTTGTTGGGGTTAAAGTTTATGATTAGAAGTGAATAAACAAGGAAAATACGAGATGAGGGCGGTACGGTGAAATCTTTAGGGTTTTATTATGCTGCTTGAAAGAAAAACGGGAAGGGGTCTATCATAAAATGAGATGAGGAATTGGGTTCCGTATGAAATTTTTCCAAATTAAAACCAGATTAAAGGTACTATTGTTTAGTGTTAAAATATTTTCTAGAATTTTCTCATTTAGTTAGGTGTACGAATATTTTTATATTAATTGGTTTTAGTACATCTTTTCTCGCCAATTAATAATGAACTAGAGTGATAATATTCTCCGACCTAACCACATGAGGAAATTGAAAATAATTTTCAAGAAATATTTTCACGCGACTCTAACGTGCCCTAAACTCTTGGTTGGCAAATCTGGTCGGATTGGTCTGGTTCGTAGTTCTTTGTGGTGCTTTTTATTGTTTAATCATATAAATAATGCATTTATTTTAGGGGAATGCTATTTTCACGAATGTGGTGTCTTTGAGAGTGAAATTCTAACCAGCCTTTACTTTTGTTATTCCCACCCATTTGTGGCATGGAATAGCAAAAAAAATGTTGCAAATAGTAATATGGATACCAATTTAGAAATTGTGCCCGATGGTCTTCCTATGCTCTGGTTGGAAACATTCGTCGACTCTACAAGGCAAAGCGGTTCCTTGAAACTTTGGGAAGCATTAGTGCTTCAACGCTTTGTCAAGGGGAGGCAATGGATCGGCGGCTCGGCGTGGCCCATAAAATCAAGGGCCTGGGCCACAAGATGCTCGAGGGCTGGGCTAGGGCCAGGTTCGGTCCGGGGCAGCCTTTCTTTTCTTTATTCCTTTTCTTGTTATTTTTTTTTGATAATATTTGGTCTGGCTTTGACAAGGCTGGGGCCTGCACCATAGAGACTAGGGCCAAAGCGGGCCCACCTGTTCCAAGCCCTATGAATATAAAAAAGAGAAATCACTCTAAAAAATGATAGAGAAAAACATCTGCTTTTTCTTTTAAGGAGAAATGAAGTTCCAAGGTATCTTTTCAAGGCTATTTCTCATTTGACAGTTTAAGGGGTTTCACCCTTTTCCGCAATTCACCTTGTGGTGGTAATATTCATCAGGGTTCGTATGCAATGGGAGTAATAAAGTTTCTAGAAACAGATGATTAATTTTTTTTCTTTTCTTGAAATCTTAACATCACCCCAGCCTTAGGATACCCAATTGTCAGGGTATTTTAGAGTTTTCCTATACAAACTTCAATTTCATTATTTTCATTGAATACGTTTCATTATTCGCCAATGCGACACACATTATCCTTTACATGCCATATGCATATAATCAAGGAAAAATATCTCTTTATTCTCTAATTTTGACTGCTATATCTCATGAGATTCAAGGATTGAAAATATTAATTATAAGCAAAATGTCTTTATCTTTTCTATCTTATAACCCTTTAGACTTTTTTGACAATGAATTTTTGACTAAAAAAAAACCACTAAAATGACACCCTCTCCACTGTTAATATTTTTTTTCTCTCTCTCTCTCAACTCGATCTCTCTTTCTAAAACTTAAAGTTACATAGAAGTTGTCTTCTCTACATCTTCTCTTTCCTCTCTCTTTATAAAAATTCTCCTCTTCAAAGAAAGTTATGTCAAATCGGTACGGTCAGTCTCATATTTTGATATGTCTTTGCAAGGAGAGTTGATGTAAAGAGGGGAGATAATTTTTAGAGAGAGAGACGATGCAGAGAGGGGAACGTCTCTGCAACTTTGGGTTTTAGAGAGAGATGTAGTTGAGAGATTGACAGTGATTTGAGAGAGAGAACGTTAACCAAAAAGAAATTTATTTGGAGATGGTGTCATTTTAGTATTTTTTTGGGTAAAAAATTTATGGTCAAAGGGGTATAGGGGTCTGTAAGATAGAAAAGATGGAGGCTTTTGCTTACTAAGTAATATTTTAAATCTTTGGATCTCATGAAATATAGAAGTAAAAAATCGAGGATAATGAGATATTTTTCCTATAATTAATGTGCTTGTAGATTCACAGTTGTAATATTCATCGGATTGCTTTAAGAGTGAAAAACAATATCACGAATAGCAATAGTTATTCTTATTGCGGCGGTGGGTTACAGTGTTGTTCCAAGACATGAATTTTAGAAAAAATTATAGAAACTCGTTGTTTCTTTACTTTCTAGGTAAGTCCCCCCAAACCCAAACTCAAGAACAAATCTTATACCACATCATTAATCCCTATATTGTTTATTTTTGCATCAACTTCCAAGTAAAGAAGTTAATTTTTTAGGATAAAAAACCACCCCTTTTCGCCCTATATTTCTCTCCCATCTTCTCATCCTCCTAGTTGTGTCGATTTCGCATAATATGACCGAACTGGCTTCTAGGCCCTAAATTGTGTCGATCTGGAACAAAATGTGCCGGGTTATCCTAAAGAGAGAGTGCAAGTGTCATAAGAAGGGAGAGAAACATGGGTTGAAAATGGGGTTATTTTTGTCCCCAAAAACTAAACATGTTGGGGTTAATGATGTATTAAAAAAAAACTCAAAAGGGTTATGTCTAGAAAGTTGATCAAGGCGGGGATCTATAGGGAAAGGTTTCTATACTTCTCCTACTCCATAAAAATATATGCATCTCCTCCATCCAGCCTTTCAATTTAGATCAAGAGCCATTATCCGTTTTTTCTCTAGATTTGATGCTTCATAGTATTTTATTTTTAATTTTTTCTACAAATTGTATGAATATGAAATTTGGTACGTGCCATCATCTTAATGGAGTGCACCTAACAAAATATATTAAAAACAGTTTCAAGAGGTATTTTGGTTTTTTTATTTTATTGTGAATATTTGTTTTATATTTTTTATACGTGCGACTTTAAAAGAGAAGTGAATGCCCAAAACTTTGGTGTCAATATTGTTTGTAAAAGAAATTAATATTAACATAGTGTAAAGATGTGGCACTATTATTGTGGCCATCTCAACCGTCCATTCATAAGGGACGGTTGGATAGGGAAAAGCATATAAGCTTTATGCAATTGGAGAAGCATTGAAGCTTGACCAGATTTGTAATTCTCTCTAAATTTTATGCATGATGTGCGTTAGAGTTGATGTCAACAAGCATTTTCCCTTGCTTTATCTAATATTTTCGGGTATTGTTCTTGACAAATAATGATTTGCAATAAAGGGTGTGGTGTTTCAGCCTTAAATTCGTGGGTCTCCATATTTTATTTTATGAGCCAAAGCAAATGTCCTACTTAATTCAACTCGACGAATTATATTCAGTTCAGGATGGGTCTCTTGAAGCTAATTTTCAATTTCTTGTTCCATAAGCCGCTTGACTCTTGGTCCTAAAGAGGCTCTACATTTCTTAGAGTATAATTTTGAAGCTTGCAACCTTTCTTTACTCATTTTCTAATATTTTGGGACTATATGGTATAAGACTATTTACCTTTCGATAGAAAGTCACAATCACCCTATGTTGAACTACACGGTGGGTGTGTAGTGAAGTTGGATGGTTTTAGGTATATTATTATTTAGCATGATGTTTTGGTCAAATCTTTTCAAATTTTGAGCTTGATCAATGACAATACTAAGCCACCTGATTTAACATCTGATAGTCGGAGTTGATTTTGGCCTTTTGACAAATATTAAATGGTGTTATTGTAAACCTTCATTAAGCTCTAATATTCGCCTAAAAGACTAATATTAGAGGAAGTTCTTCAAAGGCCCTTATCAGATTCAACACTCCCTTATCCCACATCATTTGACATTAATCTTAGACTTGGCTGTTATAAGTTTTAAAACTGCTTAATCAACAAGCAAATACATTTATGGATCAAAAAATTCAGAAAGCAAATGATTATATGTACAAGTCACTAATTCCTTCATTCTATGTCCATCCAAATCTATGAAACAGATAAGAGGGTACAAAATAAGGTGGTCCACCTGTCCCAAGCTTTTTACTTTTGAGTGAGCATCACACGTGGGACAAAGAATATGGAAAAGAAAAAGAAATTGGCTTCTTGTGCAACTATACATCAAATTAAGAACGAAAGCACCATTTGAGAGAGAAAGTGGCCCTTGTCTACTTAGAAACCACTAAGAAGTTGCACCAAGAAAAACAAGTGCAATTTCTTTGTACAATCCTCCTCTAAGAGACCCATAAAGCCAAACTTCCTTTATGAATTTTTTGGACTGTCTCCCTTCTTTTCATCAGCTTTTTTCTTTCTAGCCAATTAGGGGTAGCAATGAAGTAGCAATGAACCCGACTAAACACGGGACCTAGCAGGTAGACTCGGGATCCGACCTCGGGTCTGAGCATGAATTCAATTTTTGGACCTGACAGGTCGTGTTCGGGTCCAAAACTTGGACCTGTTCGGGTCCAAAACTTGACAATTCGTGTTCGGGTCCAAAACCCGACTTGTTGCCAACCCTATAGCCAATGGTTGTGCCACCTTCTTTCTTGCTCGTATCTTTCCATGCTCTCTATTCCATACATGATCACTTCTCATCTTCTACAAAGGGATCTAACCCCCATGTGCTAAAGAAAGGTGCTTTTCTTAACCTGCAAGTATAGTATCATGTATATATATAATACATCTAGGTCTCTTTCTATCAATTATCAAGCTCCAACCATGGCTTCAACACCCTTGCCCATAAGGCATGTATGTGAGGAGATTCATGACACGTGGGGTCGGCTCGGTCACCTTGTTCGAGCCTTGGCTAAGAAAAACTGGGCCCAGAGGCACCAAATTCTACAAACTTATAGGGCTATGTATGGAGAGGACTTGCTCATTCGCCTACAATTAGCCTCTCAATTAAAGGATTCAAGATCCGAGGTTAGTTTCAATTAAAGGATTCAAGATCCGAGGTTAGTTTTTGTGAACAAGAATTGCTTTGCTCTTAATATTGGAAACCTATAAATGTCTAATCATGATTTGACGATTGAGATTGAATCATCCGTTCACTTCCACCCATATGATCCTACAATTTGATGTCTTTTAGAATATATAAATTATAAGTATATAGAGACACATACTAAGTTTACATGTCATTCGGGCCTTTGAGATTTGATGGAAATGTTTTCTTGCATTAGACATTCAAGCTTGTGTTCTTGTGGATGTTGGAGCCCTGTGATCGCGACGCCTTCTTTGTTAGGGATGCTCTCGAGAAGGGGAACACGAAGGCCCTTGTTGAGGTCTATGTTGATAGGAAATCGAGCCAGTTGCTGCTCATAAAACAGGCGTATCTGGCTAGGTTCAAGAGGCATATGGACCATGACATAGCCTCTGAACCCCCTCAACCATACCAAAGAGTGAGTGAGAGTTTCTTCTCTTTCATTCATCTCTTGGTTTTCTTGTTCTTCTTTTGGTCTCTATTATATTGCTAACAGTAGAATTGGCATGTAATAGATATTAATGGCCCTTGCAACTTCACACAAGTCCCATGACAAGGATGTCGACATGCACATAGCAAAATGTGATGCTAAGCGAGTGTATGAAGCAAGTGAAGGGAGGTTTGGGATGTTAGATGAGTCCTCAATGATCGAAATTTTTAGTAAGAGAAGCATCCCTCAACTCAAACGCATGTTATCTTGCTATAACCACATCTATGGACATGATTTCACCAAGGTTGCCTCTCTCTCTCTCTTGAATGCTAAAATATGAAAGATTCCACACACCCTCTCTCTCTCTTGAATGCTAAAATATGAAATATTTCACACTCTTTTTCATGGACATGATTTCACCGAGGTTGCCTCACTTTTTCTCTCTAAAATCACCTATTTCTCTCTCTAAAATGCATGTTAGCATGCTATAATCACCATGGACATGATTTCAACAAGGTTGCTCTCTCTCTCTCTCTATATATATATATATCTTATGCAGTTTGTAACATCAATCCATGGCATAGGGTGTGGTGTTTTTATCTTCATTCCCTTTTATATAACATCGTGATCCTTCCATTGCAGTCCCTTAAGAAGAAGACGACTGGGGAGTTTGAGGAGTCACTCAGGACTACAATTAAATGCATGTATACTCCAACAAAGTACTATGCAAAGGTAATCTAAACTATTGTAAGCCTCATAATCATTTTTGTGTGGGGTAAAACCTCGATTTCATGGCTGCTAGCGTGGCTCTATATTCAATCTTTTTTGTCTTTTTTGTTTGACGTTGGTGGGTTTGGTATATTACAAGTACTCCTAGTGGGGCCTTCGCCCAAGGGAGCAGATGTACATTTTACTCCCCCAAGGAGCATATAAACCTTGGAGTTCATGTGAAAAGTGGAGAGAGAGAGAGAGAGAGAGAGATTTGAGTTGATTCAAGGGTTCATTTAAGAGTTAATTACGTAGTGACATAAATATTGGGTTAAAATTAAGTGGACGGTCGATCAACATGGGGTTTTTTATTTTTTTCAAAATTACTCCTCTGTACCATATACTATCTTCGGACTGCTTATATAGACTTTTCTAAGCATTCAGAGGCTCATTCTTGGACCACCTTCTCTTCTCTGGTGCTCTTTAGGGCGGTCTGAAGATATCATTAACTCATTTGTTTGCTAAGAACTGAAGATGCCAACCTTAGACTGCGTTCTGGAGTGTGTACTGCCCCTCACACTAGGGCACTATCCTACCAAAAAAAAAAAATCAAAATTAAAAAGCAGTTGAGGATCAAGAGGCAATTTTGAAAAAAAAAAAAGAAAAAAAATAAAAATAAAAGTTATACTGACCTCCCGCATAATTTTTGACGTATTTTCCTAAATTTTTTTTGTCCGTTTGTAAATCACTCTTCATTTAAAAGTTGAATGAAGAGAAGAGGTCTTGAAAGGAAAGAAAGAAATTGGTGAAAGTGAGGGCCCATCTTATTTCTCAAGACAAAAGTGTGCGAGAGTATTCAAGAGAGTAGGGAGATTATTGTCTGAAATCCATATGCTTTTGGGACCTTCTCACAGATTCTCCACACGTGTGTCAAGGGGTGCACGAGTGACAGGAGCGCCTTGGCACGTGTTTTGATGAGCAGGGCAGAGATAGACATTGAGGAGATACGTGATGCTTTCCATGCAAAATATGGAGTGACGCTCCTATATGCTATTCAACAGTGTACACCCACTGGGGAGTATAGAGACTTCCTTCTGGCCTTGGCAACTTCTTAGTTACTTTTTAGAGAGAGAGAGAGAGAGAGAGAGAGAGAGAGAGAGAGAGAGAGCATATTTGTAAATCCCAATTGGGTGTAATCCCATATTCAATTGTATGAGAAACTATTTTGATAGGGCTGCAGCTCTAACAAAATAAGTAAAGCTTCACCTTAAAATTCATTGAAAATTATATTTTTGACGTCGGGATACCTTCGAATCAATCTTTTCGGCTTTGATCATTATGGTTCTCAAAAAAATTAAGATTTCAAGCCGAAGAGTAGTACTTATTATAACACATTACTAAACTGGTCTGGTCCATAGTAAAAACCTAGTTTGACAAAAAAAACTAGCCAAACTAGTGTTTTATTGGTTTTGATTCATCCAATTAGCGGGTTTCGATTTTGTTCAACTTGCCAAATCAAAGTAGGGTAATTTTTTTCTAATTTATTACATATGGTTTAACGGGGGGTGTGGTTTGTATAAGGCCAAGGCCCTAAACAATCAAAGTAAGGGGCACCTTCAAATAGTATTGAAGGACATTGTTTCAATACCATAAATCTTTGTGATGGCTTGAAAATTTACTTTCATATTTAATGATAAAATTTAAAGCTTAAAAAATAGTGTAGATCGAGCAGATCTACAAACACTTGAAAAACTTGAAAATTGGTAGTCCGAAATGTATTACAAGATGCACAATTTTCAAGACTTGAAATCCATTTTTTTATGTCTATACAACTTGCGGTCAAAGATGATCAATTTGAGGATTTTTGAGCATCGAAACAACCTCTTTTAGTGAATTTTTGAGGTGTGCCTTAATTTGATTATTTAGGGCCTCTCCCTTATATAAAATTTTTCATTTAACAGTTATTTAGATTTTTTTTAATATCCAGTCAAACCAATTTGATATGCAATCGGACTGATTTTGACTGTACCGGATATTTCATTGATTTGGTGACATATCTGATATTGATAACATTGACTGCTATATAGCCTGTAGAATCGGAATGCACGGACTACTAAATTTGATTTGGCTAAACCGGGCACTTAGTGTTCAAACCAGCTGATTGGCCAGTCTAGGATGTAGGGTGGCAATTGGTTGGGTTGGGTCTGGGTTTGGCCGAACTTGGATATGGACCCAACCCAATAAAATATATATATATATATATATACTTATATTTATTTAAGTATTAATAAAATATTATTTAAATAATAATATTTTTCTAGTCCGGTCCACATGGATCTAGACCTGAATATTTGGACCCGAACCCGACTTACTAGGTCTAAATTTTGGACCTATACTTCAATCTGGGTCGGGTCCAATTGTCGGTCCGAGGTTGGGTGCAGGTCATTGCCACCCCGACTAGTCCGCATCAGAGTCACTTTCAAGTTAGTTATGACATATGAAGAGTACACCTGTAATAGGCAGGTTGGAAGAAAATAGTTACTTTATTCTGGTGCTTATAAATGCAATCACACTCTTGAGTCCTTAACATTAGAAGCAATAACATAACGAAAAAGTTTATATAAGGATGCTACCTTATAATGTAGAGCTACGGATGCCTTCAAAAATCCTTCAGAAAAGTTAGTTTTAATGTTGAAAAACCCTTTGATTGATCATCTCGACATCGAGATGTATGACTATAAAAAATAAAAATATTTTAAATCTATAAAATAATGTATTTTACGACATATTATCTGCACTGTTCATTTTCAAGATTTTTATATGTTTATAGATCTACTTGATTTTAACTATTTTTGAAATTTAAAATTTTATAATTAGATATAAACATAGATTTTGAGATAATTCTAAGAACGTTTTACATTAAAATTATATACCATGATAAAATTTGAAGGTGCACCTTATCTCTACCCCTACGGATGCATCCGAATGCAAACTGCACCCATAACATAATATTATTATAAAACTCAATAAAGAATACGATAAATAATATAATGAAAAACGACTAAGGCATGTAGCCTTGTTGGACACTCGTGCATTGGACGAGAAGCTATCAGTAAAATGACGGCAATGGAATAAATCGAATAGGAAAGCGCTGAAGGCTTTAGTTGTTGGAATCAAAATGGTGGCAATGAATAATATATGGAAATTTATCTAAATACAACTTAATATTGTATTAAAAATTCTCCCCTACTGCTTAGGCAGCCAGAGGCCTTGGGCGCATGGCCAGGCCTAGGAAGTGGCGGCAGGGCAGGGCAGGAGCATAGGCGCCCGCCAAGCCCAGGCGAGACACCTAGGAGGCCCGTGTAAGATTATAAAAAGAGAGGCAAAATGCCCCTCGGTTAGGGAAGTTTTCAGTATTTTGCCCCTAATTCTTTGTATTAAAACCATGGGGATTCATTTTAACCTATATACCCTTTGGAGAGTCACCAAAAACATGCTTAAATATGAAGTTCTTGTCAGAAATATAAGATCAAATGAAAATCCAAATTTTTTTATTTTTTGTGAAATCAAAAAGCATTTTTACCGGATCTTTTTGGGGCTTGAAGGGGTGGTGAAAAGTGGTTTTTTAGGAATGACAGCTTTACCCATTCGAAGCTTGATGGATTCCAATTTATAGGTTAGAGATTTTTAGAAGAAACTAGGGAAGATTAGAAGTATTTAGAGGAAGGGCATGACTCTACATGATCATCAGCTTTAGATGCATCTGGGGTTGGAAAGGGCCTTGACATATCTAGCGATGGTGGTTGATGAATCTCATTTTCTTTTATGTGTTCATCATGCTTATGCTTGTTTAAAACATTGGATGTTTTTTCTGCAAAGAGGTTTTGTCATTTTATGAGTTTTTATGAGTTGTGGTGCTTCTTATATAGAATTTTTTTTAAAAATTTTTTTACAAAAATATATGGGTTTATTATTTGGTTTCTTCTTCTTTTTTTTTTCTTTTTTTTAATTAAAAAAATAGGTACTTTAAGTCCTATCCAGTGGAGTTTGATATTTAACCAAACCCTGTAGAGGGAAAAAAAAAAAAAGGACTTTCATCCCCCATGTCTTTGAGGGCCTGCCTAGGTAGCTTAGATCCCCTATTGCCTAGGCGCCCGCCTAGCGAGTTTTCCATCATTCATCGTACTCATTTTTTTTGGTTTCAGTTCAAATACCTATAGAAAGATACATGCGCATGAGTTGGAAGGTTACGCATGAGTAGAAATGTTAAATAGTTCATCTCTTATGAGTGTTTTGATAAAATTTCGTAATTTCTGCATCACCCAAAATACAAGAAAGATATTTAAAATTTCCATCGCTAAATCAACAAATTATCAATGAAATGGGTAGTTTAGTGACATTTTTCAATGAGTGTTGTCTGAAATATTTAGTGAAAAAATTCTTTTTCTTTTTTTAGCTTTAGGGTTTGAAATTTTGAAATGTAATGGCATTTTAGTAATCTAAAAAAAACTAAAGTGAGTCATCATCATCATCATCATTAGAGCCTTATGCGAACTTTTTCGGACCGGTTGAAAAAAAATAAAATAAAAATAAAATGAGTCAATTTACTAAAATGCTCCCATTCTGAATTCCTATCAATAGATTTTAGTAAGATAAAATATATATTCTGAATTTAGAACATGGAAAAAATGCGGTTTATGTCATCATTTGGATTAGACCGCTGTAGTCAAATAATATCAAGACTCTTCCTTGTTTTGGGTTATAAACCTACAACAATAATATTTAATAAAAAGTTCATGTTTCAAATTTAGAAATTGACTCGTATCATTTAGATTGACAACTTAAGTGGGATAGAATCACAAAAACACCCTGACTTGTTTAATTTTTATTTTTATTTTTCTCACTCGCTAAGTTAACAAAGGATTGAGTGGGTACCGCCCATTTTTTTCTTATGTGTGTGAAAATGTACAAGAGAAGGTACTCAATGGGCTCTTGCAAGCTATTTATCACATGATATTCTCAATACATGCACTCAAATGTATTAAGGAAACCAATTATCCATCTTATAGAGATGATTATCACACTTTTATTATTTGGTGGGAGAAGCAGGAATACTTTTCTTGATCTTCCAAGTTATTTGTGTAAGAATGCAAAAACAATACCAGTTAAGTTAAGAGGGGTGATTTTGTTCAAATAGAAAGCTAAAAAAAGGCAAAAAAAACTTAAAAATGACATTGATAAAAGTAGTGCGAACAAATATGGTGACTTATGTTCTAACTAAAATATGACCGTTGATAGAATAGATTGGTGGAACAAGATTCCTATAGCCTACCCCAGACAAGTAGATCAAAGCTAGGGTGATGATAATGCATGTTTAAAGTAGTTTAACCGTTTTAGTGATATTTTCAAGATAAAAGACAAAGCGTTGAGGTCGTTGTCTCCGCATGTAAACCAGGAAGGATTGGGGTTGTGCATGTTGAAATAAATATTAAACAATTGGGTTTAACTGACTAAACTAAGGTGAGAGAGACACAGAGAGGCTAAACTAAGCTAAATTTTTGGATTGAGGTAGGTAGAGGATTAAAAATAATGGGTCCCATTACTGCCAGCTTAAACTTTGGGAAGAGAGACATTAAAATATGGGTCCCATAACAATAAGCTAAACTATAGGGTCCATTACAAGTTTATACTTTACAACTATGTATGCCAGTGCAGAAGTCCTAAGAATGGTTGGGTTGTAACCATTAAAAAAAAGGAAAAATAATTGTTGTGTTGTAGAGAGAGAGAGAGAGAGGGTTGTGCTTTTTCACATATTAGAGCACGATGAAAACAAAGAAACTGGGCCTTTTTTTTTAGGGTAAATAACAAACTGATATGAGAGAGGTACAGATGAAGAGAGAGATTTGAGTTGATTATAATGTTTAGAAAAGCATCGATTTAGATTGAGAATTACGTATTCAAATTATTTTTGAAATGTTGCCGATTCGGATCCCCTTCCTTTGTTGCCATACTATTATATTATTATTATTACCTTTTTATCACCCGTTCAGTCTATCTAACTCGTTGTTGACTCAATTGATCCGAATGAAAACTGCATAAAGCCGATCCACCATGCCATACTATTTTATTATTATTATTATTATTTTATCACTTGTTTAACTCGTTGTTGAGTCGAGTCGGCAGATCCGGATGAATACTGCACAAAGCCGATCCATCCCGACGATCCAGATTTTAAAACACTATGAAAGTAAACAAACTCGAGAGAGAGAGATGGGATTTGTGTACAGCTCAATGAGAACAATATTTGAGTTTAAAACCACTGTGAAAATAAACAAACTTAGGGTTTTTTGATGTAAAACAGCTCAATGAGAAGAATGTAACAAGGAAGTGTACTTCACTAGTTTGGACTGGTTGGGCACACCAAAGAAGATTGGGACGTTAAGGTCATTAGTGACGAAGAGTGTGCTAGTTTTGGTCATCCATCTTTTAAAGGGAAAAAGAACAGGGGTTTATAGTACCAAAGCAAAGCCAGGCCACACCAGACATACCAGATTGGGATCTGCTTCCTTCTAAGCTTTCCAATAATGGGGGTATATTTTTTTGTACTTTTATCTTGTTTTCATTTTCTTGGAATTATTCTCTTAATTTTAGTTATTTTTCATAATATTTTCTGGTTTACATTGCCATATACATATCCGTTTAGTTTCTTTTGTTTGGTACATTTTACTTTATTTATTTAAATATTTTTAGTGGTTCAAAATTGAAGTGTATAATAGATCAATCTCTTTATTTCTTTATTTTTTGATTATTTTTTATATTTTTGCAGACGAGAACTGTTCAGGTTGGGCATGTTTCTCCTCTCGCAGGGGAAAGGGAAATAAAGGAATTCTTCTCATTTTCAGGCGAAATCGAACACATCGAAATATATAGGTTGGTTTGTTATTTTTTTCGTGATCAAATATGGGTATTTCATTGCTGAGCATTGGAATTTAATTAATGTATCTGAATGTATTGTATTTTTTCAGGATTTTAGGCCTACAAGTTCATGTTCCTCTGTTTGAATGTATGATTCGTTATAGTATTTTTGCAATACCAGATTTTTTAAGCTTGAAAATTTAATTGTTTTGGTAACATTGTGAGGATTTGTTTATGGGGTGTTTCGGAAATGGCTTATTCGTTTTTCTTTTCTTTTTTTTGGTTCATTTCCACTTATTCATTTTCCTTATAGTTTCCCTCCTTGAGTGAGTTTATTTTCTTAAATGGATTACCGGTGTCCGAATCTAGTGTAAGAGATTTTTCTTTTTTCTTTTTCATATGTGGAACTGCAAAATTTCTAGAAAAATTTAATTTTTTTTGAAATTTTTGTGTCATTTTTCTTTAAAATAAACTTTGGGTTTTTCTGTACAGACGTACTTTTCTAGTCTTAATAATCTTTTTCATTTCTTTTTGGAGTTGGATATATTTCGTTTTTTGTTTTTGGTTCAGATTTTATTTCCTTTAGAATTCAGATTTCTCTTGAATTTTCATAATGGGGATTTTTTGCAGTAAATGTTTTGAGCTATATGCTTATAATTATGAATCTTTTTTATTTTTTCTTTCCAATAGAGGCAGAGAGAGCCGTGATTCACAAACTGCATTTGTCACATTCCGGGATCCAAAAGCATTGGAGATTGCACTATTATTATCGGTAATTGCTATTTTCTTGTTTATTTCTGCATTTTGCTATTAGTCTGGTTAGTTCTGCCTCTCTTTTTTATTTGAACCCCTTTTTTTGTGTTTGGAAAATGACAATTACTGTCGAATATAACCCATGTCTCTATGTGATTGACTTTAACATACATGAACCTGTTATATGATATGAAAAAAGTATTCAGTTGTTGAAATGCTGAGCCTGATTTCAAAAAGATTCAATGTAAGTTATACAACTTAAATAAATTTCAAAATCCTGTTGAGAAAAAACAATAGAATTTATGAATGTAACCTAGAGTTGCTCTTTGGTGTTACTGGAAAGATCTATTTTATTTAATTTGTTTCCATGATATTTAGAAGGGGAGAGAAGCACAAATTTCAGTGTGTTTTTCTTTTAAATGTAAGCTAGGGAGACATTTTTTCAGTGTGGTAATTATATGGCTAATTTGAGCTGGATACTGTGATGTGATGCCCAAGTTTCCATTAGATAACTCAGTTTTGTTACCTTCTAAAGACGCATCATAAAATGCATCCACGATTCATGATGTTTGCACTTTGTTCCCCTCAAGCAACGTCCAATCTAAAGTGCTTAGGCTCCTTATCCCAACAAGATCAAGAGACAACTCTCCCAATCTTGCAATTGCTATCTTTGCTGAGTTTGTATGTGATGTAGTACTTTTATCTATAGGTCTTGTTAACTAATCATCTTTTCTCTTCCTTCATATGGTAGTCTTTAATGTTAGTGGGACTTTAGCTGGTGTCCGATAGTATTAAGTTGTTTTATCTATCATCATAATTATAAAGTTTACATGATTTATGGTTTATGCAGGGAGCAACCATAGTGGACCAGATTGTGAGTGTAACACCGGTCGAAAACTATGTACCGAATGTCGAGGCGTCAGTAAGCTCCAGCTTAATACTCCAGTGTATTTTTTCAACCAAGCCCAATATTCTTATGACTTTCTGGAGATTGGTCATCTGTTTATACCTCTTTTATTTCTTCTCTTAAATTTTATGTACTCGGTTAATCGTTGTGATTGTATTCTATTTTCCCAGGATAACATGAACCCTTCTAGCAATGTGCAACTTCATGTGAGTAAGCCCAGTATTCTTATGAGTTCCTATAGATTAATAATTTTTGTATAATTTGTTTTTCACTAAATTCTGTGTACTTTACTAATATTATATCCTATTTGGCCAGGATAGCATGAATCCTTCCAGCAATGCACGGGTTTATGTGAGTAAAGCCCAAGATGTGGTCACAAGCATGCTTGCAAAGGGTTCAGCCTTTGGACAGGATGCAGTGAACAAAGCTAAAGCCTTTGATGAGAAGCATCGGCTAACTGCCAATGCATCTGCCAAGGTTATATCATTTGATAGAAGAGTCGGGCTCACTGAGAAATTAACTGTTGGGGTTGCTGTTGTTAATGAAAAAGTGAAATCGGTTGATCAAAAGCTTCAGGTGGTGGACAGAACCATGGCTGTTCTCACTGTAGCAGAGAGGAAGTTGAATGGCACTAGTTCAGCTGTTAAGACAAATAGGTAGTGCCATATAAAATAAGTTTCTTTTTCTCTTTATATCATATGTTTTTACTTTTTTATTTTGTGTTTTCAACTGGTTTTATGGACAAATATTGAATGAATGATTTTCCAGTGGAGGAATTGAATTTTGCAACAGTTAGTAGCATCATGGAAAGAGTCATTCACTAAAATGTTGGGCATTATGGTGCTTCCCCAGATAACTGCGATGGGATTGAAATTCAAAATTACTTGTTTAGGGCCTGAGGTTATGTTTGTCTTCTGGGCTCCACATTGCTATGGTGCTTGACGTTCTTTTGCAGGGAATAAATCCAACTCACACTCGGACTTGACCAAGTCAAATCGGACCCAGAAGTTTGCTGAGTACAGATGACTGAGGGGGGGTTGGGTGGATGCGGAGGTCCGATCCAAGCCAAAGATATCGGATATATTTTTTTTATTGTGATTAGTCTGGCACTCCGAATCGGTTGAGTTGGACTCTGACTCGGCCTTGGGACCCTTGCGGCTGCCATCATGATTCCGGGTTTTCAAAGACTGTTTTTCTGATTAGTAACAGATGATGATGCATTTACTTAAACTGAAATGAAATGTTCCAAATTACCTTGTGGGATCAAGTATCTATGTGTTTCTCAATGGTTGTCAAGGAGTTGTAAGTTTTCTCATCTCATTGGTGCTCTAGTCTTATTCTTTTTTATTTCTGATCAGGTATGTCTCGGTGGGAGCGGCGTGGATGAGCGATGCTTTCAGTAAGGTAGCGAAGGCCAGCCATGTTGCAGGTGCAAAAACAAGAGAAAAGTTCCAGTTAGCTGTCTCAAACTTGACTGCTAAAGTGAGCTATTAACATAGGGTTTTCCTTATTCCTTTTAGTGTGTGGAAAAAACAATACACTCAATTGTAATTTGAATTTTTTTACTCTCAAATTAAGAAAAAGATAAATTCGATGTCTTGAACAGGAGCCAGGTATTTCGACATGACAAAGGGTGGTTCGAGCTTCATGTGGTGTTGGTCATTTTGGATTTATTTATTCTTTTGTTTTTATTATTGTGTATTTTTTATTGGCAATAGGTGTGTGTGGGAGAAGTCTGTGTGTTGCTGTTGGAAAATGGGGTTTCTTTTTGGGCCTATTTTTGAGGATTTAGTTGTGCATTAGTTTGAGGACCTCTCTTTGTTAAAATCCTATATTCTTCTTGTAATTCTTTACCATCATTATATTGTTATTTTTTGTCCTGAATTATATTTTATTTCGAATGTGAACTTGGGATACGGTGAGAATGGAACTCTTTATGTTCATCTGCCGCCCTGACCACCTCCACCTCGGCGTAGAGCCCATTCTCTATTTCCTGATTAATTGTTATTATTTGAAAAGTTGTTATTTTGGCTGGAGTATTTTCCCCACAGCTTGTTTGAGAAAACCCAATCTAGGAGTATTTTAATTTCTTACCAATTTTGGAGATTTACATCTGACCAATCTAAAAAGGAAAAAAAGAGTTTTGGAACACACTTTGCATATGAAAATATAATGTCCTGACAATGCTTTAAAATTCCACTGTCTAAATCACCAAGCCAACCTAGTGATTGGTCCCTACGGACTTGGTTCTTTGTAATAATTGGGAATCAGTCCAATTCAGATGGATTCGCCTGGCTCCGTCAGGGAAGAACCAGGCGAGTTTGTCATGGAACTAGCTATCTGAGTTCGCTTGGCTCCGCCAGGGAAGAACCAGCCAGGCGAGTTTGTCATGGAACTAGCTACTCGAATCGGCTGAATCGCGTGGTTTACTCTGGTTATATATAGTTTTTCTTCTTTCATTTGTCTCGATTTTTATTTTTAAAAACATATTGTGACACCGAAGAATCAGTCCGTTTCGTGAATCCAAATTCGATTTTTGGAATCTTGTCAAAAAA